CTGATTGATCGTTAAGTCTTCACGTCAAGCTGTGCTATATTCGTTGCTTATATGTACACATGCAGTTACCAAACAAACTTTTACCAATTATATACATGATAATAAAGTAATCATCGTATAACACATTGGAATGGTCGACCGAAGAAATATAAAACATTTATATTATAAAAAAAAGTTAGGATTTTTTCTTTGCGCGTGCATATCTCGCGTAATTTTCCATTTACTTGAGCAGCGCAATTGTGCAACTAGACACGTATATCGTTGTATCTCGACGCTTCTTTTTTCTTCCAATTATTCGGTAGCTACATTACATTAATTAATTTCTTTTTAATACACTCTCACCTTTTTTTCGCTTATCTATAGCACCTCGCTGTAAGAAGTATAATTATTAATTACACTCGTAGACGAACAACTCACTGTGTATTAATTGGATACATTTTTATTATTCAAAACCGACCATAATTCATAGCTCATAACTCACAATTAAATTATTATCGATAAAAAATCAAGCGTTGATATGAAACAGTTTTCAAATTGACAAGTGTACGTTGTGCTGTAAATCGAATCGTTTGGGAAACTGACGTTTACGGTGTGGTAAATCAATAATCCTTTTTTCCTTTTTCTTCTCTTTTATTTCTTCTAATGGCATTTGGAGCTCGATTCGATTGCCGTCATTAAATGTTCGAGTAATGCGTGTAAAAACGCTTGGCATAAACACACACACACGTACATCTATGAGACTGCAGTGATACAACGTCTCTCGTCGATGAGAATTTCACAGTATGTGATGGCGTATACGCGGAGAAAATTACTAAACCATGGCCGTGGAGCGCACGTTTCGTCGGGGAAACAGGTGCTGCGTATAATTTACTGATAATGAGGCTTATTTAGAGGCAAATTAATACAAATGTTAATTCCAGCTCTCGCGGAAATAGAGTATAACTCGTTTAGACGATACTAGTTTTATTATTTTATTGTGTGTACAGGCGTGTGCAGTACTTGCGAAGCTTGCGGATTCAAAATCCCTCCACGTAACGTGACGCTTGTCTACGTTGCATAGTTCATATGGATTCATCCGAGAAACATTAGCTCATTATATTTTTTTAAATCTTGCGCATATTTTGCGACGTTCTAATTAAGTACTTTTTCTAAAAGCGGCTGTTTTTCGCTTCGTCTAGGATTGTTTTATTCGTTCACTCTTTCATCGCATAACATTGGCGCGTGAAAATACGTACAATGTACAATCCATATATCCATTCACATATGCACGTATGTATAGTATACATATATACTCGCAGTACGTGTGTACTTGGTTGTGCGTATTACATATAGTCATCTGCCAAGAGTGGCGTCGGTGGAATATGGTATACTTTAAGCAGGAAGTAACATCCGGTCGGTGTACATTGCCGTCGTAATTCGCGATGATGCTATGTACCATTCACGACCTATACTTCAATTGCCACGTGTGTGTGTATGTGTGTGTGTGTGGCTGTGTATACGTACGTTTAGGCATGTATATTTTCTTTTTTGTTCGTTCTTATAGAGACTGATAAACATCTTCGTTGTTTGCTCTCATATACACATATACGTTGGCAATGTACGAATCGACGTTTGTGCCTGTTTCGGTATATATAATAACTTTGCACCAACTGTCCGGCATAGCAGCGCGATGTGTCGCTAGGTATACGAACTTTTTCCTTTCCCTTTTCATTTTTTAAGTTCAAAATATGTTCTGCATAGGTTTAGCTTTCTGTTTAGCTATTTTATGCGAACTATCTTTCTCAATTCACTAACGGTGAGTGTACGGATTTGCTAATGCATCTTGGAATTGTTGGTCGAAAGTTGCAAAATGAAAAATTACATCGGGCACGATCAAACGAGCCGAAAAATGTAGATCGACGTACTCGCACGCGCGTTTAAGAGCGGAATATCAAGGTCAAGTACAAAGTTTCTCACACGATTCACGTGCACGTGCATGCATACGTATGTGTGTTGAGAGAAAGAGAGAAAGAGAGAGAGAGAGAAAACGATACGGAGCAATAGTCCTTGCCTACATCGACGTAGAAGAGCGTAAAGGAGCTATTATGTGTGCGAGGCTCAGCCCGAGGCGTGTTCCGGTCCTCGACAATCAATTCTCTTTCTCTCCTTTTTACGGGCGCATGTACATCGAATCTGAAATGTGGCTGAGATTTAAACTATATGGATAGAGAGAAGTAGCCCGGTAGCTTTGGAGCAGTAAACTCTCTTGTGCGCCCTCTGTAATCTTTTCTCCCATTGCGCAGATTCGCAGCGAGAGCTACACGCCGGCGTGTATATTTTTCGGGCAGCGGCAGTGGCAGCACGGAGACGACGAGGTCAACGATCTTTCGTTCGCGCGCACATACACGCGGACGCATGCTCAGACTGACAGACCAGGAGGAGCTATATATGCGGCAAGTGCGTCAAGGCACACGCATAGCGATGCCAGCACATACACTCACTCTTACTACTGCTTGTACTATCACTTGCTCGGCTAAATGCGCGAGAGAGCTTGAAATCGATATAATATGTATAATATGCGCGTCGCCTTTTTACCTATGTGGGTGTGTATGGCATAGCGTTCTTGGCGTTGTCCTGCATCAGCAAGGGGTTGAAGGATTCATACAGGTGGCGCTCTCGCACGACGCGCAAACACCATAACCCTTCGCAGGCTCCAAAAAATCTTGTAATCATGTATAAGCGTAGGCTACAACGCGGCCGAGTTCCTATTTTATTATTTTCACGTATTTTCAACAGTATTACTCGGTAAATCCATTAGATTCTCGCACGCAAAATGTGTGCACAATGTATAGCTCTTGTATGAGCTGTGCCGCGTGCGTGGCTAGCGATGCGCAAAGCCACAGCAAGAGAGGCGAGCGCAGTCAGAGGGATACATCGTAAGCATCTCGATTAGCTCTCGAGCCCATGATGCAGATCCCTGCCGGCTGCCGCGCGAATGTAGTGGAAAAAAGCCGATATACGGAACACCGCAGCATCAAGGAGCGCTCGGGTGAGCCGGCTGGCTCTCTCTCTCTCTCTCTCTCTCTTTGCCGCTACCGCCGCTGCCGCCGCCACTGACGCCGCCCTTATTCGCCTCGCGCGCGCCTCGCTGCAGCCTATTTTATTGATCGGATTCCGCAGGCCGTCGCCGCCGCTCATGCCACCACCGACCGTAGCGGTAGTCGTCTGCGTGTATACACCGACGCACACTTGCTGCGTCGCTCCTGCATAAATATGAACGTAATATACGCACACACGCGCGGGCGAGAGCACGCATATATGACCCCGCAAATTTACCTCTTTCGTGTTTGCCAGAGGGAGCCGGACCTTTTTAATTTGTTTGCTCGGATGCGTAGGTGCAGCCGCAGCGGCAGCGTCTAATTATCATACGCCACACAGCTATAAGCATAAAACGTGGGAGAATGGCGCGCGACGGCCTGCGTATACGTAGTATACGTTATGACGCGCATCATTGCTACCGCTCGTGAAGAAGCAAACGATGCACTTGTTATTTTTCTAACCCGAGACTCGCCAAATGCTCGAATAATTATCGCGTAAATGCGATGCGGCGAAATATTGTACAGCGGCTGATTTGATTAACGAAAAACCGGATCCTATTACCGACGATCGCTGTATGGCTTGCAGTGTATTCGAAGCGATAGCTTATCGTACACGCGGGTGTGTGTGTGTGTGTGTGTGCACTCGTAAACTTTTACAGCCTCCTCTACCTCCGCATTAGAAAACTCGACGTATAAAATTAAAGCATTTTACCTATGCGCGCGCACGCGGCATTTCAACTTTTCTGTTTCTCGTTTTATGCCTTCGCGAGAGGATGACAGCGAACAAAAAAGATATACACATTGATGGTATGCACACTGCATTCTTTCGAGCGATCTCTAAGTGGAATGGTCGATAAAGCGTCTTTTTTTTGTTTTTCCAACGCGCGCGTCATCGATCTAGATGGCTAACATTTTTTAATTTTTCCTACCTCTTTTTACATTCATTAATTTATGCTTGCGCTCATTTGCGTTACAATTTTTGTCTACAAGGTGCAATGGTAGGAAATTATCTTTCGGTATAAGATATTCTAGCGGCACTAAATCTTTTAAAGCTATATTTATACGCGCAAATCCATCGTTGCTAATAAATTATTCTCTTAATTAAACCAAATTCTCATCCGACACATCGGGTATAGTCGAAAAATATACATCTAAACGCATATCCTTGGAACATGAACGGCATATCGAGTGCCACGATTATAAATTCCAAGTAACGTGCTCGAGTCAATCGACAAAAATTTTTATCCCGACACAATGCGAGCCGTGTGTATAATTAAGTTAGACGTTTCTGCCGCGCTATAAATAAAGAGCAGCTATTATGCAAATAATATCTACACTCACGCATCGCGCGCGCGCACGCACCAACACATACACACGCAAGTCCAATTAATATAAGAAAAGTCGCACGTACACCCGTGCTTGCAACGAAAATGACAGAAGTAGCGCTATTTTTTCTCGCAGTCGCGAGTCACGGCAACTATAAAAATATTTTATGTCTGTATCCTAGTAATGCGAAGTTTTTAAAAGAGAAATCGAGTAGAAAAGTGTTCATATTGCTAAATGTAAATTTAGAATTTTTCACCCTTGTAACGTTGTCACCCTCGCAATTATTTTACGTCAATTTTTTGAGTTATTATACGCTTACGCTTACTTCAAAACACGAGACAGTAGTAATGAATCTACAGATTATGCCTACAACTAGAATATTAGCAAAGCAGTCGAGGTTTTTGATGAAGCTCTCGATAGTTACGAGCCCGTAGCACACTCGTTCATTAATCAGTAGATTATGGTGATACCATATCTGAAATCGCAGAAAGCTTATTGATGGATATGTCCATGTAAATTTTACTTGAAAGATGTTTTCTATATTAGTAATGATGAAAAACGATTGGGATACTAAAGTTATATTTGTGTATGTTGCAGGGCCCTAACGGACCGCGACCCACGTACGCGGGCGCCAACGGTGGCAGCACGGCCGGCAGCGGAGGCGGCGGTGGCGGAGGAGCCGGTGGTGGCACCGGAGGCGGCGGCGGAGTCGGCGGAGTGGGTCCGGCCGCGGGCGGCGGAGCCCAGACCGGCGGCGGCCACGGAGGCGGCGGCCTCAAGAGCAACGCTACCGGAGGCCCCCGAGGCGGCGGCGGTGGCGGCGGCGGCAGCGGCGGCAATCCCACGCAGTACAGAGCAGGAGGCGGCGGCGCTGCCGCGACCACGGCCAGCTGGGGCGCGGCGGCACCGGGTCACGCGGCCGTAGCAGCAGCCGCAGTCACTGGGGCGGCCGCAGCCGGCTATCCGCCTTACGCGCGGTATCCGGCTGCCGCCGCGGCGGCGGCTGCTCAGCTGCCGGTTAACCCTCAACAAATGCCACCCAACGCGAATCCTTACAGTGCCACTACTTACGCTCAGCACGCGTCGGTTAGTATGAGTAACGACAAACCTGCTACGCTCATCTCTAATGGATGTCATTATTACTTTGTATGGACTTTGTATAATTTTTTTTTTTTTATATTTTTTTATTGCTTGTACCGCGCTGCGAAGCAACGAGCATCTTCAAAGTAAAACATGCATTCTAACAAAGTCTTTCTTCTTTGATCTTTTTTAGTACGGAGGACAGCGAGTTCCTACCGCCTCGTCTCCGGCGAACACAAACAGTAGTTCCAGCAGTGCCACAGGTAGTCAAAGCGGCACCATGAGTACGAACCTTAGCAATAATATACAAGGCCAGGTGTCTGAACAGTTGTCGAAAACCAACCTCTACATCCGCGGCCTCAACCAAAATACAACCGACAAGGATCTTGTGCAGATGTGCTCTCAGTAAGTTCAATCGATCAATTGTGGCCGAATGAAATCGATTTTTGTCTTTCTTTTGAGACTCTTTTTGAGATTTGATCTCGACGATGAAAAATATTCACTTGGACTCTACTTCTAGGTATGGAACCATTACTTCCACCAAGGCGATTTTGGACAAAAACACTAATAAATGTAAAGGTACTTAATTGAACTTTCTACTTTTTTCGTTACACTTTTATAACTAATTTACATTGTCTAGATCGAATAAATCAGCTTTTTACTGTAGTTTTTACAATCAAATTTAATTAATAGTGGCATTTTTTGAAACGTGACAAACGTTGCACTACTTTAAAAACATAAAGGTATCATTTTTTCCGATGCTTTTATCGATTATCGGTGGTATTCTTTAAAAAAGATCACGCATAAAAAGCAATCAATAAAATTCACGGAAAAAAGCATAACGTTATTATATTAGGAACTGGATTAAAATAATATTAAACCTATTTGAGCGTTAGTAAATCAGATATACATAACGAATATCTATATGTTCGTTATCCTGATTATCAATAACGCTCAATACTTGTTTACGTTCTCAATGAATCAATAGTATCAAGACAAACGACCAAGTCTTGCAACAAAACACGATAGCATGTAAGACGTTCTCCAAAAGAAAATGTACCTCCTGATTACATCGACTTTTGTTTGATTTTGCAGGTTACGGATTCGTAGACTTTGAGTCACCGGTCGCGGCAGAGGGTGCCGTCAAAGCCCTGGTCGCCAAGGGTATCCAAGCGCAGATGGCGAAAGTGGGTATCTGGTTGATCCGTAGACTGGCCAGTGTACGTTGGTTGTGCATGCAAGTACAGTAATACCAGAGTAACAGTAAACCTTTCTCTCTCTCTTGTCTTTTCTCTCTCTCTAACTCTCTATCTCTTACTCTGTTCTATCCTTTTCCATCCTTTCTAATTCTATCTCTTTTCTCGTCCGTCATCTCAACTCGTGTCCGTTCGTCCTTACTCTCCATAACGATAATAATCCTGATCAATTATTCTTATTCAACGAAATATTTATATGAACAACGAAGAAAAAATAAGAGTAATATAAAGTAATATACAATATGATAAACTAATGTAACAACCTCTTTTTCATGATTTTTTTAATAGTTTTTTTAACATTTTTTGGATTTTGTTAAATTCATATGTGATAGATGAATTATTTGAATTTATCTTAATTTTTGAATAGTTGATTTTTGACGCGATAATGATTTCGAATGATTTCATTGCAGTACTATTTTTTATCTATAACAATGTATTTTGCAACAAAAAATTTTTTCATGAATTACGCGATTACATGCGTCGCTTACAGTGAAGCCCTAAAAGTACTAATTTTCCCATTATAATCGGAACTATAGTAAAAGTGGCGCGTTTGGCTGTCGACTATTTTTCAAATCTCTCTCTTTTGCTACTATCTTATCATCATTTACCTATCAAACCTTGTCGATTTGCTTTTGCTGCTATACCTCGACTACTACATTTGCTAATTGCTATTATACATGATAATTTAATCGAGCTGATTGCGTTATTTCGTTACAATGTAACGAAATTGATGAATAAGCTTTCGGTTGATTATTGATATCCATGGTTTGCGAACGCTTTGATAAGGTAAAAATTTTCAAAAAACTCAGTGCCGTTTGAACGAAACTTCAAAATTTTGAGAACTTCAGATGTCATCGTCGATGTTATAATCATTTGGATAATTTTTAGCAATTATTTAGTACTGATTATAAAGTATCAATTGTTGTTCCTTCTAGCGTAAGGCATCGTTAAAAGTTCTCACAATATTTCATCGTGGGTCGCGCTAAATTAATTGTTTTGATACAGTTTATTAAATATTCCGTCGACTAGTGTATGGCAGCATACAATATTATTCGTATATAAATAAAAATACCGATTAGTACCTCGTAAAATTGAGATTCGAACATTAGTCATACCAAGTTGGATCTTCCCATAGATGAAAAGCTTTTCTGTAATGACGATCGCAAGAGAACAATCGGACATGTGGCTACATATACATAACTATGAATATGACTATTTGTACATTCTTTCTAGCTCTCATGATTAGGTGATTTTTTTGTTACCATCTCGAATAAAAAAATTTTTTTTTTTAAATTCAAGTATTCTGTCTAGTTAAAAGCCTCGAATGGAAACAAAAACGTTCGCGTTAGGTTTTTTCCAACTAAAATGGATAAAGGTTGCTTAATTGGCATGTAGAGTAAAGTTTAAAAGTCGTATGGAACTAGTAATCGCTAACCGTGATGTTTTAAATCGAGTAGTTCGCAATTTAACAGTCGCTCATTGCTTAATTACAACCAAAAAGGTGCAAAAATAACGATCACTTAACCTGGCAGTAATAAGGTGCTGGTTAACTTTAATTGGCCTATAATAATAATACGGCTTGCTTTATTTAATTTGACATGCATCATTAAAAATTAGATTTTTGAGAAAATTATTAATAATTCACGACGATTAATGTATCGGTTAGAAAAATATATAAATATAAAGGCATTGTGCAAGATTCTTCATTTTCTCGTCCAACGAAAAATAAGACCCGTTAATCCAAATGGTAAAACAGTGGCAACGAAACAGCAAAAAATATTCAAAAGAATCTAGCACGATGTTCAACATAATATATGAGTGCATATTGCGTGTGCACATTTAATTGAAATCTAGATATACTTCCTTTGATAAGTGAGATCAAGTGATTTGTTTATCGATATACCTTAAGTTTATTGAAAAGCTCTGATAGTTACATTACATTGTACTTCATGCAAATGATATGCGAAGGCCAGAAACATTACTATTTTTTTTTTCTTAACACAAGTGACATAATCATAACTCATTGTTTTTCTTTCTTTTTAATGCATTCGCAAGATTGAAGTAAAGTGTCGCAAAGTATAAGTATCATATCTAAGTAATCGTAGAATTAATTTTCTTTATATATTGCCAATCTTTTGAGAGAGAAATGGTGGATCTCAAAATGTGCTTATTTTTTTACATACTTATCTTTTTATATCTATTTATATATATATTTTAATATATTTATACATATTATATATTATTATAATATCTCTTGCAAAACAGATATTTATGAATGACAAGAAATTAAAGAGAAAACACTGTTTACAATAATTTTTTCACACTTCACTTAAATTTTTGTTCGAATTTTGATCAAACTCGTTGTGTTATGTTATAAAGTTCTTGTGCAAACTCTTCAACTCATTCTTCTTTCTGTGAAACTTTGAATGTTTCTATTTCTTCGAGACACAAAACTATTTTGAATTTTTTATTTTATAATTGCATACGAAATATTTTTTTCTTTTCTATTTTTCGTATACATGTTGTTTAATACACTGTGATTAGTCTTGATGCTTCGATATTATAATATATATAACTCTTGGCTTATTTCGTTCAATGTGTGAATTTTGAAAAAATATTTTGTAGTTAAAATTTGATCGACTCTCTCTCTCATCTAGCTACTCTGTAGATTTGATATATCTTTAACTATACGATTTCGTGCTCCATGTGAAAAAAATATTGTTCACTCAGTGTCGAATCATCTTTTTTTCATTTTTTTTTGTGTAAACTTGTAATTTACAGCTACAAATCACGATTTTTACAGTAGTATTGATCACAGAATCAAAAACTTTCGTAAATATGTTTCGGTAGAATGTAGAAAATCCTTTTTTTATTTGTTTGTTTTTATTTTGTAAATTGAGCAAATTGGGAGAGCCACCAGAATGTGGTAACTTGATACAATGTAGCATGTCAAAATTTTTCGTATTATATATTGACGTCCAACTTTTGAAGAAGCCAACTCTGTTTTTTGTATACTTGTAATCGAGTAATTTTACTATGTAAAGTGTTTTTACCACCACTATTTAAAATGTTTCTATCATGTCCGCTATTATTTGCATTTTCTGCAGTCTTACTATTATATATATTCATAGTAAAAACGAGTACTGTCATTGCTTATTATTTATCTCTGTATATTTTATTTTGTAGATTTATTCCAATTTGACGTAGCATTTTCGGTTGAGTTATTTTTACCTTATTTTTGTTTCATTGAAATTAATTATTAATAGATCAGTTGATTTTTGTAAACACTGATTTACCATGTATTTATTTGCTTTATTCGTTTGGTACTGTTTTGTTATGATTGGAGTTACATCTGAATTCATGATATATTTATAGTAAAAATCATCGTTTTGGCCAGGCCTACTAAATTCACATTTTGTCACAATGATATGTAAAAAATGTTTAGTCAAATCAAGCGTGCTTCCTATCGAAGCAAACGATTGAGGCAGTACCGGAACAATGAATTTTACCCTATAAAAGAATTGACAAAGAAAGGTTTTCACTAGAAAGCTCAGTATATCTAAGGCACGTGCTCTTACTTTACGTTAGTAAAAAAGCGTTGAGCGAGAGTGCAGCATCCACTAGAACCTGAAAAATTGCATAGCATGTTTTCGTTGTATTTTTCTATAGCAACAAGAACAGGACCCGACTAACTTGTACATCGCAAATCTACCGCTAAACTACAAAGAAAACGACGTCGAATCTTTACTAGCCCAATATGGTCAAGTTATCTCCACACGCATCCTTCGTGATACGTCCGGACAAAGTAAAGGCGTCGGATTCGCAAGGTATACATCCTACATGATTATTTATGCTATCTTGTATTTTTTTTTTTGTTATTCTTCTTTTTTATGATTGAATAATTGCTAAACTACTTCACAGAATGGAATCCAAAGAAAAGTGCGAACACATCATACAAATATTTAACGGCAAATCGTTGCATGGAGCAAAGGACCCCTTACTAGTGAAATTCGCCGATGGTGGCAACAAAAAAAAGTCTCTGTACAAGAGCACAATATGGAGGGATAATGGTGACGTGAGTAATTCGGTAATAATCATAGCTAAGATTGCTTCTTCTCTCCTAGCTTACCTTTTCAATCTTTTCTCTCTGTTGTTGTTAAACAAAATTTCACATGTCCCAATCGATGGTCGTGTCAGGCATTTCCACGATTTATTTTGCAGCAAAATATGGCACTTAATTACGAGACAAGCGCAGTGGGACAGAACGGCGTGGCGACGGCCCACATGCTGCCGGCAGCTACCCTCGCCCAATATGGACGTCACGCTTACAGCCAAGCCATGCCGAGCTACAACGTTCCAGGCACACCCTGGGTCACACCTTATCTCGTCCAGACACCACCGCACATGCAACAGGTCGACGTGAGTTTTTCTACCTAGAGATAGAGATCGTTGTGCACGATTACGCGCGTGATTTTACTGCTTTGCATCGTGCATGAAACGCGTTATTCATTTTTTATGTAATATTTTTGCGCAATTTTATACTTGTTTATGTAAATTCCTGCATTTGGAATAGAAATTAAATAAGTAGAGTATTCGTATTTTTATGTAAAGATTATTATGCAAATAAGTATTAACAAAATTGATATTAACGAAAAACATTTGTCTGCTTTAAAATACAGATCATGCCGTCAGCGGACCCAAGCAATCCGCAATACAGTATGATTCCTCAATTAACCACTCAGATGTCCACATTGCATCTTGGCACCGGTTCCGTAAGTTTTAATGCAAATACTTTGCACAACATTTTTTCGTACATTTTTATTTAACCACCTCTTTTCATTTGCAGTACATTAGCCCGCATGCGTATCCGACCTACACAACCTACCCAACACCGAGTATCATTCATGCACCCATGGCCCTTGGAGATTCAGAGCAGACGAGCAATGCAGCGTCACCGGACGACTCCTATCAACAATACCAGGCTCAACAGCCCAAGTAGGCTACACTACAAGATTGTTAGGTTAGGCGATTATTTAGAGAGATTAGAAAAACAGTCGTCAATGAAAAACACGAATTCTTTAATTCGTACGCGGAGCAGAAGATAGGTTTATCTTAGGGATTTTCTTAGTATTATATTATATAATTAGTTTATTATTCATAAATGGTGTTATTCTTGATAACTAACGCTACCCTCTTCATTTTTTTAGGTACAACTACGCGGAGGGTTACACGAGTTAGGCGAGAGGTGCGTTTGTCAGAACATGAAGTTACATTTAAAGAAAAAATGACAGAAAAATCCAACAAAAAAAATTATGAAAAAATTTGAAGATTAACTGGGAGAGATTACATTGCGTAAAGTCAAATAAGATTCTTCCTCACGATAAAAATGACTTGCCAGCCGTCTTTTATACGTTTTATCAAGCAAGATGAAATAAGTGAAAGTAGCTACTATTTTGCAACGAGTAGATAATGATTGAATGTTGAATTTAAGAAAAAAAATAAATAAAAGAGAAAAAGAGCGAGCAGGAACAGAGCGATACTCGCGGTGTTGATTTATGTATGACTTGCAAAAAACACATGAAAAAGAAAAAGAGAAAACACAGAAAATTAATTTAAAAAAAAAAAAGATTAAGTTTAAGGACATAAAAGCAACACGACGGCTCCACAATGCGCCAACGCATCGCATTGTTGATAATATGAACGACAACCGACATAGGCAATGGGGCAGTCATAGGCATCAAGCTGATAGGCTTCCAGGATAACTTTAGGTATTACATTAACTATGAAGACGTAAATAAGTCGATGGAGCTAAGCGCTTGAAAGAAAGAGAGAGAGAGAGAAAGAGAGAGAAAGAGAAAATGTGAATAAATATTTTAACTAACTGGAAACTATTTAAAAACGCTGCTTAGAATTATACAAAGAAAAAATGAAAAATCTTCCCAAGTTTCTTGTTTCGAGAAAAATCAAATTTTAGATCAGCTTACGAGGCTTACTTTATGTACAAAGCTCTAAGGATTTTTCGAATTTTTTTTCTATTCTACTGATAATACTTGCCTTATAGTGCGATTTTTACCATTTTATATTGTTCATTAGCGTCTTCATGTAATGCGAATTGAAATGCAGTGCCTTTTTGACCTGTCGATCGTGTATTTTTGTATCAATGTGACTGTAAGATAAATGACTTTGACTTGAAGTTATCATTTATTATTTGATTTACGTGTCGATCTGCCAATGATCAACTTTGTTTTGTTAAAAAAATTATTTTTATTTTTAATTAGTTTTTAATTGTGCGTGTATGAATCATTTTAATGGTTTGGTATCGTTTTATAGTGATTTTATTGTATCATTTAAGTGTACATTTTTTATGTACACGTTATTGTACGTTTTTATTTGTTTTTATAAATTATAATCATTATACATGAGGTCAATTTGTAGGACTGTTTAGTATAAACTTTCCAGATCAATGAGACGCCAGTGAACAGTTTTAAATACACATTGAGATTGATATATTTCAGACGTAACTTTTCTACCGTAAAAACTTTTGAAAGATTATATGAGAGCAAGTGTGTTAAAATGAATCTTAGCGTCGGTCAAAATTGGATTTTTCATGAAACTTGAAGAAGGTCAGGGCATAAGCCACTAAAAGTGCCCTTAGTTTATTTTGGATCGTTTGAAAAAGCTAGTCTTTGTGCGAGATAATGTGGAGGTTTAGGTAGGATCTTCTAAAAAAATAAAGAAACGAATAAACGGGAAAAAATAAAATCGAAGAAGCGTTTGAAAAGAAGAAAATAAAGTGTATTTGAAAGATAACATGCCTATTTACATAGTACAGAATGCAGTCACATTGTTGAACATTGTAAAAGAGTAACGTGAGTTTTTAAACTATAGTTGCACATTTATGCTGCGAGTTCATTTTGTTTCGAAGCATGTAGTGATGCGTTCAATTTTCTTTATTCAGAACGCATCACTATTCGATACGATCAGAGTGGCGCAGAGAATCAAATTTTTTATTATTGATCATCGTTTTCTGTTGTTTTTCTAACGAGAAAAATGAATGACCCTTTTTTTTAAAGAAGATTCGCATAAATTACCAGAATTTCAATCATCACCTTCATCTGCAACTCGAGTGAAGGAATGCAGACTCAAAGTGGAAATAATGAGACTAACTTCAGTCACTCGCAGAGTATCCATTGAAGCAGAATAATTGCGGAAAAACTCTGCGTACATTAAGGATACTGCGAAGTAACATATTTTTAAAGAAAATTAGCAGATTTTTTATATTTTTATGCGAGTTTTTAGAGTTGACTATAAGTAGAATTAAACTTATTATTGTAATGAATTATAATGATTATTCTATTTTAGAGAAATTAAAAAAGAGTTTAAGAAATACTTATGAAATCCCAGAAAAAATAAAATTCGTTGTAATCATTGTGTAAAGCAAGAAAATACTTGTATATTAAATTTTTGAATTCGCCAACATGAATTTTATATGATTTTACGAAAATAAATAATACGGTATCCTTAATGAAGTACAATTAATTTTTGTTTGAAATAAAAAAATGATAAAATATGTACAAGCACGCCTTGTCCAGAGGTATGCTTCCGTTGAAGATAATTGAATCCTAGATAAAAATAAATTACTAATTTAGTTAAATCAAATTGAAAAAATGTTGAGAAAAATTATTGTAAATTGTTGAAGCAAATTGAAATGCTGCAGAAAATAAATATTATCAAACCTTCGACCGAAGCATATGCATGAGACGGGGCGGTCTGGAAACAGTTCAGTATTAAATAAGAAACGTCCCGCATGATGAAAAAATTAGACGTCACACATTCCCCCACATTATCCTGAAGCAGCGCGATGCATTTACGGTATCCAACTCAAGTAATGATTTAGCATAGAGGAAAAAACAAGACTGGGAAGTAGCGTGTTAAGTGCGAGTCAGTAGGCAAACCATTTGAAATTTGAGGATTTTCTTAGCGCCCTTAGAGTGTAAAATGTGATATTTTTCACGAGAAAGAGCGAAAATAAATAGAGCGTGAAAGAGTGCGTGAGAATGAAAAAAAATTCGAATGTCCGTGAAGCCGAAGTTGAAGATGAGCTCATTTGAGGTTTTATGGAGAAAGTGTGTTCGAGTGTGAAAGATGATTTGAGCGAGTGAAACAGGAAAAAAAATTAACGAAAAATCATTGTGGTCGTCGATGAGAATTCAGACATGAGCAGATTTTTTTCTCAAGAGAAAAAAGCTTTGGCGTTGTATCGTTTAGTCTGTTCATCAATATAAAAAAAATCGATAAAATGAAAATAAAAATAAAAAAGTGCTGCTGTTATAGCGCTGTAGAGCAAAGAAAAAAATGGAAGAATAAAAAAATCGGCACGGTGCAATGGAATTCATCGGATGGTTTATTATAGAAATAAAGACGATACTTTTGTGTCAAAGCTATTTCAAAAAACCTTTCAATCAATTTTTTTTAACTCTTCAACGCTTGTAAAATGTTAATTCTGTAAATATTACGAATTACAAGTGAGAAACGAAACGATGTGTTACTATACGTAAAATTTCTTTGCTTAAAAAAAGATAAATTCATAAATAGTAGAATTCTCTTTTGTTGGCTATTATAGTATAACTGCTTTTAATTGCTTTATTTTACAAACATTCATTTCAAAATGAATGTATGAGATTTTGGCTTTCAAATTTCCTGACACCCACTCCAATTTTAAGTTCTTCTTGTTGAATCATTGAGCGACAATGCGGGAACAATAGTTGTGTTTACCACTCCTTTGTTTATTTGTACATTGTAGAATAAATGGATGATGTGACTTGATACGAAATGATCCTTGTATAATTCACAGTTTTTATGTTAAATGATTGATGACTAAAGATTTTGCGCTGGTATTTTTTTGATATTAATAAAAATAAACAACAGTAAGTAAAATATTGTGAGTAAACATTTTTTCATTTTAAAAGCCCGTATATTGCCGCGTTGAAAGGCAAATTTCGTTATTTTTATTTTGTATTATTTACGTTTGTAAATAAGAGTATTTGTTTGTTTACTATTTTTGTTATATAGTGAACAATACCTTCAATTTTTGCAAGATTTTACTATTTAATTATAATAATCTCAGAGTCCAAGGAATCGTGTACATTTTTTTTAATACAAGATAGGTTTTCTTTTAATAATTTTTTTCAATTGAAAAGTTAAAATTAATTTTTAGTTTTTAATTAAGAGAAAGTTATGAAAAAAATAACTTTCAATTTACTTTTAAATTTTAAGTTAGTATGTAAATAAATTTTAAAACTAAGAACATTAAGATGAAGAATAAAGTTAAGCGATTATGGTAGATATGAATTTTCAATAAAATGATGAAAATGGTGAAAAAGTGAGTCTATTTATCATTTATACTTTTTTTCCCTCCACTATAATTGTAGGTTCTTGAAATGAATGGCATAAAATAAATACTTGGTTATTATTAGATTCTATTGGCATTGTAAAAAAAATCCATAAATGTAAATTAGTATAGTTTTTTTACATTGTAGTATATGCTAGCCTTTCCATCAACAGCATTTTGCATTAATAACTTTTACAACGTTTGTCCTAGAAGTTTAATTTGTACAAATGAAATAGTAAATTATTGCTTGATAAAACTTTTAATCATTCAATCAACAATTATGAGTACAAAAATGGTAAGATTGTTTCAAAGGCTCTATTTACAAATTATTTACAAGTTTAAATACATTCAATTATGGTTCATTCTCTTCTTCCTCTGGTTCATCAAAATCTCTTGTTCTAACATCTTCTTCCTCACCATATTGGATAATGTTATCAATTGTCATTTTTACATCTGCTATACTTTCCTCATCCTTCATATTTAAAGGTAAAAATCTTACTAGACTGTAATCATCTATTACTTTACCTGCAAAAAAAATAAATTGTTGAATATGATTTAATTGATTTAATTGAATTATACAAAACAGCATAAGCTAAATATAAACAATTTACAGTCTTAGCTACAGAAGTTAATTTATATGAAGCAATTTTTTCAAGTAGAGTTTTAATTAACAACTTCTATAATTTTTGAACAGATGATAAAACAAAAAATGGTTTACAGAATTTACTTTTTTAAATTGAGAAATAATTATTTCTTAATTATTCATATTATAGCTTTTTTATATATTTTATGTAGATTACCTAATGTTTGGGTTAGATTTGAATACTCATCTTCCTCTTCATCCATTAATAATTCTAATGGATCAGGTTCCAAATATTTATCCAATTGTTTCCTTGCTGTTTTTGAAAGTAAATCCATTTTACCTAAAATATTAACATGGGGTAGCTCTAAATTAATCATTGCAGTCAAAGCAGCCATCGTTCCAGACAAAAATTTAGATGGGTCCACAATAAATTGACTGTCTATGATAAAAACTACACATAAATGGAAATTCAAATTTTGCAAACACTTGATCAAATCTCTCATAACTGTCATATGAGTGTAAAGTTCTAATTGTCCAGGACAATCAAAGATAATGTAATCATTATCAACATCTCCTAACTGTTCCTCAAGCCACGGTAAATTTTCAGTTAAAAATCTGAAAGCAAAAATATTAAATTGTTAAATTTGAATCAAATTGATTGCTCACTTAAGCAAAAAAACATTACTTACTCCATACAAAATACTAAACCACCATTGGGGCCATATTTTAATTCTTCATCTTCCATGGCATCGTCAACCGTAATCAAATCACGGATATCAAAAAGAGGTTTATAGTCAAAATGTTCAGCAGCTGGATCTAAATTAACAACATCAACTGTTCTTCTATCATTGGCAGCATGTCTCTGCATTGCTGAACAGTAGGTCGACTGAAAAAAAAATGCTCGATGTTAAAATAATCAAGTTAAAAAAGAACAAAAGCTATTTCATAAATTACAATTCCGAAAAAACTTACCTTTCCAGAACCAGCGGGACCAATCACTATTTGACCGTACCTCATGTTGATATAATTTTTCAATCTATTAAATGTTTGACGTTTCTCCGTAACCTGTAATAACTCACTAATCAAACACGTGTTGAACAGACGCGTCGCGAGCGAAGACTGATATTTTCGTTACCTGACGACTGACGAAGTGACGGCTAGTGACAAATGTATGAATGAATAGGCATCGATGATCGAACCGGCTATAGAGACTATAGTGAGGGAGCCACTGCTCGCAATGTTAAATTTACGGAGTCCACAGCAGGCTGGGGCCGTTGGTGTTGGTCAATAGCGATTTCAATTACCCGGCTTATGTATAATGTATAAGTAATAGGTATGTAAGAAAGAAGAAAAAGGTGTCTATCACTGTCATTCGGTCTGGCTGGGCCTGGCTTGTTGAAGGGTCTGAGACTCTGTATATGCTGTCAAGAGAGGTCAAGAGAGCCCGTCGATGGTTCAGTGTCAACATGCCAACACGATGTGAGAATGCGATAAATTAACTGAAAAATTTCTTAGAGTCAATTATAAAACGCGCTAGGGAAAATTATTTAATTTTTTTTCTTGTTTGTAATCGGTTCTTATGCTGGTATTTATTCTTCAAATCGAAAACATAGTTTATTGATGTTGGAAAGATCAATTTTTTCACATCAAAAACTCATCACGACAAATGAAGATCTATAATTCTAAAGGATACTAAGTCTTAAGATTCTCTCATGACTAGATCGTGCTGTTATACTGCAAATGAAAAATAATGAAGCATAAAACATTTCTCTTATTTCAGATTTTCATCAAGAATAAAATTTTTACTAAAAGAATTAATTAGGTTGCTCAGATTACCAAGTGAATAAACTGCTGAGATCATGTACTTAAAAAAGTGATTATGGAATAGATCAATTTTCCGTGTTTTTAGGTTGCATTCCTATTCGACTCGTTTGTTTGGTGCTATCACTGCACAAATTCAAATTTTTTTAATACCCTGAAATGAAGTGTGATGGCAAGAGACGATAAGTATAAATTGGAATAACACATGCGCGCCGCCAACACGAGAACAAGCGCCAACTGCCTAGCGGCAAACGACCGAATTTCCTGTCTGCGTCGAAAACTCGCGCCTTAGACCGCGTCAACAGGCAACGCGGAGAGTCGTTATTTTCCAACCTTTACTTCGAACCCGAGGACGCATTAGCCTCTTGCGAATTAGATTTTTAACAACGAATCTGCACTGCGATTTGTCATTTGTAACAAAAGCAAGGACTTGAAGGCTTGGCTGCAGCCATGTCGTCCGCGTCAATTGACAAGGACGCCTTTTTCAGGCGCATGAAGCGTCTTTATACTGCATGGAAGGTAATGGTTTCATATTTTTACAATAAATCCAGCATGATACAAATTTTTTCGCAACCACTTTTTCTACATTGATACCTAACCAAAAACACTTAACTTTAATAAAATAATGCGTCTTTGTATTAAAACTGTAGGGTGGCGAAACCGGTGGTGACGATAGTTTGAGTAAAGTTGATTGTGTTGTTTCAACTGTGGGTGCAGATGAAGATGTCATTTATAGCAAATCAACTGCTCTCCAGGTAATACATACAATTTCTTTAAGTGCTTGAAAACAATCAACTTTATCAAACATGATTCATTAACTATTTTCATATCATTGCAGACATGGCTCATCAATTACGAGCTGCCTGACACTATCATGATCTTAGCTGAAGATGGTATTTACTTTTTAGCAAGTAAAAAAAAGATTGAGTTTCTCAGATCCTTGGAAGATGCCAAATCTGAAGACACTGGTGTACCACCTGTCAAACTTACCATCAGAGATAGAGTAAGTACTTTGTGACAGTGTGCATAGAAAAAATCTTTAAATTATCTTTTTATCGATGATTTCATTTTCAGAGCGATGAGGACAAAGCTAATTTTGCAAAGTTAATCAAAGTCATGAAAGAGAGTAAAAATGGTAAAACTATTGGTATCTTTCAGAAGGATACATTTAAAACTCCATTTGTAGAATCATGGAAAAATGCTATGAAAGCTGAAAATTTTGATCAGGTAACAATTTTTTATTCATAAGAAAATGTTAAAAAGTTATAATATTATCATTACTAATTCATTTTCAATTTTAAAGGTTGACGTTAGCGCAAGTGTTGCTTATGTTATGAGTCCTAAAGAAGACTCAGAAATTCTAACTGTCAAAAAAGCTTGTTTGGTATCAGTTGATGTATTTACAAAGTATCTTAAAGACCAAATAATGGAAGTTATTGATAATGATAAAGTATGTTTTCATGACCCTTCACTTAACAATACGATTCAATAATATGTTTTAACAAATGAATATTTTTTTTAGAAAGTGAAACATTCAAAATTAGCTGATGGAGTAGATAGTGCTGTAACAGATAAAAAGTATGTATCGAATGTTGATACTTCCCAAATAGACATGTGTTATCCAGCAATCATTCAGAGTGGTGGAAATTATGCTTTAAAATTCAGTGCTAGTAGTGACAATAATACATTACATTTTGGTGTTATTGTTTGTTCTCTTGGTGCTCGCTACAAAGCATATTGTTCCAATATTGTTCGAACCTTAATGGTTAATCCAACTAAAGAAATGGAGGTAATAAATGCTTAAAAATTTTTGCTTATACATTTCATTGGCTATTTATTAAGGGTTTTTGATATCAAATATGAAATCTTTATAATTTTTTTTTTTTTTTACTTAAAGGAAAATTACAATTTCTTAATTCAAGTTGAAGAAGAAATATTAAAAAAATTGGTGGCAGGTGTCAAATTGAGTGAAGTGTATGAAGCTGGTGTTAAATTTGTTAAAGAAGAAAAGCCAAAAATGATTGAACATTTGACAAAAAATTTTGGTTTTGGAATGGGAATTGAATTTAGAGAAAGTTCACTGCTTTTGGGGCCAAAAACTATTGCCACAGCTAAAAAAGGAATGGTATTCAATGTGAATGTTGGCTTTTCAAATCTTCCTAACCCAGATGGAACAGACAAAGAATCTAAAACATATGCATTGTTTATTGGAGATACAGTGATTGTCAATGAAGTAATTATTTATCTTTTTTTATTATAAATTATATTCGTAACTCTTATACCAATTTTGATATAAATCAAAATTAATGAAATATAGGATCAACCGGCTACAGTTCTCACACCCTCAAAAAAGAAAATCAAAAATATTGGAATTTTCCTAAAAGATGAAGAAGAAGAAGAGGAAGATAGTGGAAAAGAAAATGAACCAAAACATGAACTGCTTGGTCGAGGTAAAAGAACAGCTGTTATTGAGTCAAAACTTAGAACTGAACACAGCTCAGAAGAAAAAAGGAAACAGCATCAAAAAGAATTAGCTCAGCAGCTGAATGAAATAGCTAAAGCTCGTTTGGCTCAACAATCAAGCGGCAAAGAACAAGAAAAAATCAGAAAGTCAACTGTTTCTTATAAGAGCATCAACAGTATGCCTCATGACTCAGAAGTCAAAGACCTCAAACTATTTGTTGGTAAATGACAACTGTTTATAATGGACATTTATAATGGACAAAAAATTGTTTGCTTTATTGTAAATTTATTTTACAGACAAAAAATATGAGACAGTCATCATGCCAGTTTTTGGAATACCAACACCTTTCCATATATCAACTATCAAAAATATTTCTCAATCAGTGGAAGGTGATTATACATACCTCAGAATAAACTTCTTTCATCCTGGTGCAACAATGGGTAGAAATGAAGGAGGAGTCTACCCTCAACCGGATGCTACTTTTGTCAAAGAAGTGTTAGTAATCCAATAGTAAATTGCACAATCTAAAACCTTCAAATCATGCAAAAAAATTTTTTACAGGACTTATCGGAGTACCAACACTAAAGAACCTGGTGAAATTTCAGCGCCATCTTCCAATTTGAATACTGCTTTCAGATTGATAAAAGAAGTGCAGAAAAAGTTTAAAAACAGAGAAGCGGAAGAACGCGAAAAAGAAGATCTTGTTAAGCAAGATACTCTTGTAGTTTCCAGTGGAAAGGGTAATCCAAGATTGAAAGATTTGTACATTAGACCAAATATCGTGAGCAAAAGAATGACAGGTGCATTAGAGGCTCATTCTAATGGCTTTCGTTATACATCAGTTAGAGGAGACAAAGTTGATATTTTGTATAATAATATCAAAAATGCCTTCTTCCAACCATGTGATGGAGAAATGATCATTTTGCTTCACTTTCATTTAAAGGTAATGAATAACTTAATATTTTGTAATCCCTAAATAAGACGTTTTTACATTACTTAATTTATAAATCATTTTTTAGCACGCTATAATGTTTGGTAAGAAAAAACATGTCGACGTTCAATTCTATACAGAGGTCGGAGAAATTACCACTGATTTAGGAAAACACCAGCACATGCACGACCGTGATGATCTTGCTGCTGAGCAATCGGAAAGAGAGTTGAGACATAAATTGAAAACAGCATTCAAAAGCTTTTGCGAAAAAGTGGAATCCATCACAAAGCAAGAAATTGAATTTGACACACCATTCAGAGATCTTGGTTTTCCTGGGGCTCCATTTAGAAGTACTGTTCTACTTCAACCAACTAGCGGTTGCCTCGTTAATTTAACTGAATGGGTGAGTTATCAAAATCTACTTCTTTTAACCGTATTTTTTTTTTATTATAAATTCATGTAAAAAATTTTTAATTTAGCCTCCATTCGTTATAACTCTGGAAGATGTTGAATTAGTACATTTTGAAAGAGTTCAGTTTCATTTAAAAAATTTTGATATGATATTCGTATTCAAAAATTACCAAAGGAAAGTATCAATGGTTAACGCCATACCAATGAACATGTTAGATCACGTTAAAGAATGGCTCAAGTAAGATATTCATTATTATAAATGTATTTTTTTTAAATTCATTATTTTGTTATTAAATCGGAATAAAAATTGTCTTTAGTTCGTGTGATATCCGGTACTCTGAGGGTGTACAGTCTTTGAACTGGACGAAGATAATGAAAACGATCACTGATGATCCTGAAGGATTCTTTGAAAGCGGTGGTTGGACTTTCTTGGACCCAGAGAGTGATGAAGAAAATGAGGCAGCCGAAGATGAAGAAGAAGAAGAAGACGATGCATATGAAGTAAATTTATTATCAACTCATCATTTTTTAGAAATATTATTGTTTTCAATTAATTAATAATTTTTTTTCAATCTAGCCGTCCGACTCATTTGAAGATGAAGAATCCGATGATGACTCTGACTATTCCGAAGCTTCGGAAGATTCAGGCAGCGATGGTAACTAATTTATCTTGCAATATTTTAATTAAACATTTGCTTATTGATAAATATTTTAAAAGCAATTTTAAAAATTTGCAGAAGAAGAATTGGGTAGCTCGGAAGAATCTGGCAAGGATTGGTCCGATTTAGAACGTGAAGCTGCTGAAGAAGATGACGAAAGAGGTGATTACGGTGCTGCCGAGTTGAAAAAGAAAGGCGGCAAGCATTCATCGCCATCAAAGGATAGGTAAATTAAAATTCATAAAATTTAACAAAAACATTTATCTTATTTCTAAAATAAATTTATAAAATTTAGGCATGGTTCCAAACACAAAAGTTCTTCAAGTTCCAAAGGTAGAGACAAAGACAGAAGATCTTCTGACAAGCATAGGTAAGTTATAGGAGATTATTTTAACGAATTGTTGTACACGATGTTGTAGTGAGCTGGGCTTTATTATCATAGTTTTTAAAATAGTTTAAAAGTTGATAAAATCTTTCATACGCTTAAATTGCATTTTTGCTAGTTTCAATGCTATTATTTTTAAGCCATAAATATATATACTTAAAATTTATATTTATTTAACCTTACAAGATCGGATCGATCAAAACATGATGGATCTCACAAATCACCCTCAAAATCTTCTAAACACCACCATAGCAGGTGATAATCGTCGACAAGATAAATTAAGTCCATTTTACTAAAATCGCATTACATTTTCAGCCCGAGGAAAAGTGATAAGCACAGCAGCAGAAGTGACAAGCACAAATCATCTTCTCATTCATCAAGCAGCAAGAAGCGATCACGTGACGATAGTTCAGATAGACATCGTAGTTCCAAAAAACACAGGTAACAGGAATTTTTTTTTCATATAATATATATACGTATTTAAACAATTGAAAATAGTTGTACTGTTGTCTATAATGTATTATTGTTTCTAGAAAATAAACCCTTCATTACTCAAAATGAGAATCTAAGACCTACACATAAAAATCTCATTGAAGAATCACAAGATCAAAACTAGCTACGAACTATTTATGACCTGAAGAATAATATTCTTGTAATTTGTAAGATCTAACCATAAGTTAATAATTAATGTTTGTACGAACAGCTTATAAGTTTCATAAATAAAAACATTGTATTACGTTCATTCATCAAGGCATATGTTTTTGATACTCAGTTTGTGTTTGACACTCTCGCATTTTTGGTATTGTTATATTATTCGTTAGTTTAGAGAGGCGTTACGCTTAAGCATGTTTTAAATAAAAAGTGACTTTTTTATAGTAAATTAGTACATGTACAGTTACAGTTGTTAAGAGTCTGTGGAAGTATTCAACGTCTCATTAACTGTAAAATCATAAGACAGTTTCATTAATATGATATCTTGATGATTTCCTGATGATATTGAATGTCATTTTATTGAAAATCTTTGTTCTCTATAGTAATAAAAGCTCTTTATATTTAAGATTCGTACTTGTGTACATTGAAATGTTGATACTTTTCAAAATAAAAACTTCTTGTACACCTTTTATAATAAAAACTCTGTTAATCACTCAAACAATAACAACAAACTACTAATTGGTCTTTATGATGTGCATTTGGTTATGAATGATTTATATGCAGTCGAATTAAAATCAATCGAAAGTGAAAGTAAACAATTTATAAAGCGTTACAACAAGTCACTTTCTCTTGGGACATGGTTCGCTTGTATAAATCGAATCCAAAGATTAAACCAAAGTATAGAATAGTAATCCTTACCGACACTGACTACTACCGCATTGAGATTATTCTCATCGCGATCGATTTTACCTTAAAACTCAATGAGGAAATGCTTTTAGAAAGTAATAAATGAAAACTCTTTTTACGACAAAATAAAAGTTTATTCACAATTAATATTGTTGAAAAAAGATGCTACTCCAGGTAACAATGACATATGACAGTAGTAGCTCGCACGTGGTAAATCATATAAATCCATAAAGTCATTCATTTATACTATTCAGCTAATTATACATATTTATAATAATACATGTACGTGATTGTATTAATCGCGAGCAATGGATCGCTTCTTCTTATTTTTGCCAATTTGGTCGATCTGCGACTGCAAATTATTGACGACCTCGGCTGGGACGTGCTCGCCCAAGATCTCGAAAAGATTAATCCTCTGGCTGCCGGGTATAGACTCGTAGGCAGCCAACTCGATGCCCTCCTGGACGTTCTGGATCTGGGCGTCGCGCGGAATCAGATAGGTCGACTGGGCCTGGCGTATGGCCTCGTTAGTGAAGCGCGCCCCGTCCTTTTGGGGAAACGCCATGGCACCACAGGCTAGCAAGCCCAGCAGCAAAAGTATCGCAATGCTCTTCATGACTCTTGAAGTGTTATTCTCGCTTCTTTATTCCTGTGAGACAAAGTTTAAGTTCGTGTTTACCGAAAAATACAAATGTTTAGCGATTGACAAATACTTGAAAGAAAAAAGAAAGTAATAGTACTCGAACGCTCATAAGTGTTGAACGAGCTACTGTAAAAAAAGCGACATTATGCAAGTTAGATAGTACACAGAAGAGTGACGTTAAGTATTTCGTTCGAGTACATAAAAGCTTTTACGAAATGTAACGAGTGTCGATTCCAGGGCCGAAGTGTATATCTGTCATTTTATGTTAATGGTTACGTACACGAATAAAATATCTCCTCAGTCTTGTGGGTATTTGTACGAGTTAAAAAAGTGCACATTAGCTCACTGTGTCGCACTTTCGCTTCCTATACGGATCAAATTATTATGCCCATCTTTCTCCTCCTCCGAGAGCCGGTTTTTTTCATTGCGTAAAAGACGAGGCTCTCGTTACTAAAATCTTGCGTTATGTACATTTATGATAAAGCGTAAGAAAAGTATCGTTGCTTATGTTTGGTACCGTTAAAAGCTCGTTACGTTCATAATAACAACAAGTAACAACGAGTCGCGCGTCACGATGCACGCGATGTAACACATGCAAGCTTTAGGTGCAAAACTTTCTCGATCGCGCGCGAAAAGTCTTTTGAGTATGCTGGGCACGATCGGTAAGATGCTATCGCGACGAGAGAAACTTTGCCGCGCGCACATAGTCGATCCGAAAAAGAGAGATTTCCATAATGATACAGCTCGCGCACTTGGGTGCAAAGAGGTCACGGCGACCGAAAGTGCCATATTGACCCTACAGCATCGATGCCTTGGGGAGGGAGAGATCGCGTACAATGCACCAACGTCGCACCGGCCACCTTTGCCAACTAACGTACGAGGCGAATAATCGCCTACACGAAAGTTTCTCCCGCGAGACGAGCACTTTCCCTCTCGTATTTTTATGTTTATCGTCTATATGTAAACGTCTATAATGCATCCTACGTCAATACGCATGCAGTGTACGTACGTTAATTATTGTGCGCGTTTCAATCTAGTCGTAAAAAATTTCCTTCTTTTTCCTTCATAAATTATTCTGCCAACACTCAAGCTTATATAATTGGATTCTCTCGATCGGCCGCAAATGATGAATTTTAAAATTACTCTCGCAAAATAATCACGTACCATTACTACGATGTCATTATTTTGTTGGACGCAGAAAGGGAAAAACGACGCGTCGAATAATTTCGATTATGATACACTCGGATTTTTTAATGAGTCTGCACTTTGGAAGAAAGAGATTACTTTTTTCACTCTAGAAATGCTTGGTGTCGAAATAAAAAGTGAGTTCGTGGGGTAAAAATATTTTTGCCATAGTATCTTGCCTTCAAAATGCATGCAATTGAAACGCAAAATTTGTTTTGAAAAAAAAAAAACAAAAATAACCGAAAAATTACTGGAATTTTGTTTAAATATCGTGTTGCGAAATAGAAAAATGAATAAAAAACACTGCTCAAACGACTCATAAGCAATAAAAAAATTGCTCGGTACTCACTTTGTTGGATGAGAGTGCAGCTTATCTCTGCGGCCGCGAGACTACTAGACATGCGTCCGCCGCGAAGGTGGCTCTTATATAGAAAGTAGTGAGCCCCTCGGGAAGAATTTCGGACGCTCTGGTCCAAGGAGGTGGACGCGCTTCTTTCTCCTTCCTTCTTTTTCCTCGTTTTTTTCTCTTGTTTTTTCCTTTCTTACGCTCCCCGAAAGAAACGAGTCGCAATAATATTATTATGCTCGTCGCGGCGCATCTTATCCGATACACGCTACACACATAATATTTGGGTTACCGATGATGCAGAGATCGATCTTGTATGTATTTTAAATGGCTGGACTGCGCGCGAGTTGGTGTATAAATTATCTCAAACTTATGCAACAAGTAGCTCGATTTTCGAGCTCTTCTTGAGATGCTCTCCTGCCGTAATCGCTGCAAGAATTACGAGGTGCTCCTCGGCTCGATACGCATAATATGTGTACATACAGCGTGCGAAAAAACGAATACGGCATTAAAAAAACATGTTCTTCGAGGTAGTTTTTTTCATGCACAAAATATTATATATTGTTGCGTAACGAGAGATTTGAATATTTCTAAAGTCCCGTCTCAAGGAGCCTATCGAATAAATATCAACGCCGATACACGTGGAGAAATAAACAAATCTTTGACATTAAATAATCGACATTTTTTCAGTGACTGCCGAGAGACTCCTAATGAAGTTTTTGTGAAACAAAGCCAGGATGCGCGTTATTGGCGACCCAGTGTAAAAAAAAATACAAATTCAAATAATTTTTAACTTTTTTTTCCACTTTGAATAATCGATGCTAAAAGACTACTTTATCGAGCTCGTTAAGCATTAAAAAGTAACTAACTTCAAGCTAAATTTTTAATATATTTTTACAGCAAATATTTATACAATAATTTTTAATCGCTTATATGTGGATGTATAAGATGAAGACATTGTGTGTAGCGTTTCGGGATAACATTAGATATAGACATTTTAAAAATTTTTTTCATTTAGTCTGGTTTTGGTTACTATTTTATTCACTTGTAATATAGAATAAACGAAGGAAAAAATTTCAATATCATCAATTATTGAATAAAAATGTTACCATTTCAAATTTAATATTTCAGTCATCACTTTTAATTTTAAATTATTTACGTTCTAACTTCTGAAGATATAAGATCAATGTCAAGTGAATATCACAGTATATCTTAGCGCTCTCACCTGGCAAATAAAACAAGCTAACGCGTATTGGCTATGCAGTGAGTACGTTATTATCACTAGGGCTGTGCGAGTACCCAAGTTTTCGAGTTTTTTCGAGTACTCGATTTTTTTCGAATACTCGAGTTTTTGAGTACTCGCAATATATTTAAGTTTTAAGTAAATAAATGATGAATTAACAGTCTCTAGACCCCTCCTTTTGTGTGTACGTGCTTAAAAGTGTGATGAAGTGCGGTACTATTAAATTATTTTCTTCATTCAATCCAATCCGCTGCGAATATCACACTTATAAGCATGTACACACAAAGAGAGGTGGTCTAGAGACTGTTAATTCATCATTTATTTACTAAAAACTTGAATATATCGCGAGTATTCGAAAAACTTGATTATTCGAAAAAATTCGAGTACTCGACTCGAACTCGAGGAAAAAACTCGAACTCGACGAGTCGAATTTTTTCGAGTACTCGCATAGCCCTAATTATCACCACTATTTTAAGAGATTTAAAATAATTATTATTTTTTTTTATGCATGCACATATTTGATTTAAATCGTAAGGTATTTATTGATCGATTAATTACTTGATTGAATGCATGTAATTGTCGATTTTGCATTGTTAATACTTAAAGCAAAGGAAATCATCATCGACTCTCTCACACTACAGATTCGTAAGTACGCACAAGGTGCAAGATGAAATAAGCAATGTTCCACCTCGATCGAGATTTAATTTTGTGTTTATTTTGCTACTAATACGACTTATAAACCATCATTAAAAGAGCAAGAAGTGCTGCAAAAAGAAAATTAAAAGCAGTATACATTTTTGAAATGTAGAATAAACTTTTACTGATACGTATAAATCCCAATAATCTAAAAATACGGAACCTATGTAAAGCTGAGTTACGGCTATTTACCTTATGTAAATTAGATGAAATAAATCAGAGCTCAAGGTTCTATTCATACATTTCTCATGTCTCTTTCATGGATCCCATCACATTAGAACTGTTTAAAGGTATTGTATTGGAGCACTCCATAAAAATGTTGCAGGTACAATGGGAGACGTAAAAATTACTTTTTTGCACTTAGCTGCAAAAGACTAAACCTGATCCAGTTTTTCGCTGCTATGTTGATCGAAAAGTAGTTGATAATTAGCCAAATACCCCATTTGCTATTGCAATATCAAATCCCAAGGTGTTTAAATTGCTTCTCAAAAACGGCGCTTTTATGCACCATGTTGCTCACAGCGAAGACGATATATATATTACATCTAGAGTGTGTGTGTCCCATATTGGAATTGCTTTAAAGTGCAAAAAGTATAATTTCACTTTTAGATAAAGAGTACTCTTTAGATGATAAAGGGTACTTTTTAAATGAGGATCATTATCTAGTAATTTTGATAGTTCGATAGATCGATTCGACATTTGAAAGTTATGAAATTAGTCCTACCGTGGATAATGTTTTATTTACAGGTGTAAAATTATCTTAATTTTTAAAAACTGAATAAAGTTTACTTTATTATTTACTATTATTTTTAGGATCAGACTAAAGAATTCAGACTTTTTTTAATAAAAGATTTGTTTAAGCGAAGAAAACACATACGGTAGGATAAAAAATAAGATTTTGTTTAAAATTCATAAGTATCTTTACCAAATCAGATCTTCAATTTTAAAAAAAATTCAGTAATGTTATATTTTTTGTCTGAAAAATCCAGTTTACGGAGCTTCTAATTTAAAAGAAAATAAAGACTGAAATGCGAAATGAGATAAAATAAGCAAAGACATCATTTCTAGCTGATAAAATTTCTCTTCTAGATATGTATGCACGTATTTCTCACGAAGCCTATGCGCTTATGAAAGATTCAAATTATAAATTAATAGAAAATGTAGAGTAACTTAATGAACATATTTCTAAAATTATTGAAGGAAACATTTCTGAAACAATACATGGTTAGCAAAAATAATTAGGAATAGAGTTATTAAAAAATCTCCATTTATTCATTCCAAAAGTACAAGTTTCTTTTTTTCAAGACTAGACAACTACCTATTGCATTAAATTTCAGTTTTCATTATGACCATTTAATAAATTATAGTGAGCGATTCCTAAGAAATCGTTTATTTATGTAAAATACATTACATCTAAATGACAATAAGAACAATTTTTAAATATTATATCCGATAATTACTTTCAAAATTTTTTCAAGCAATACTCCTACATACGGTAACGTTAATAATCTCTATCTTCAACGTGAGATATCGTTGTACATCTTTAACAATTAAGGCTTTCTCTGGTCTTTGTACTAAATGTTATCTACCAAATTTCGAATGAATCATTGTGTAAATAAGCATTTACTAAATTTTCAACTTTCTGAAATTAATAAAATGAACTACTAAGTCTCAAAAACTTACATTCGTTGAGGTTTTTACGATAATTAGAACATGATTAATTCTAAAATGTAAGTTCTAACCCAACTTGTTTATATAAAAAAGCAAGCAGTACATTATCAATGACTGGATAAAGTTAAATTTTATAAGCCCTTACATATATTAACCGATCGATTAAAAGATTAGTATATTAACTGCCGTCAGCTTCGCCTCGACCAGTAATTACACGTACCCCAGAGCTTTTCTGATTTTCATGACTTCGGCCTGATAATCAATTTATTAGAATTATGAATTTATTAGTTTGAATTTGTAAAAGCTTATAGTTGTAGAATGATTAAAAACCAGCTTATCCAAAAAAAAGAAATTTAATTTCCAACTGACGACAGTAAAGATTTTCCAGGAAAATTATTTAAACAAAGGGTAAGAATTTTCTACATGAAAAATCCATAAAGAAATTAATGGCTTTTTTGTTAGATTTTTAATCTTTAAGATTATATTTGTTTTTGCATCATGATCTTAACATGAATAAACTATTGATAAAAACAAATTATGTCATAAAAATTGAATTAAAATAGACTAAAACAGACAACTGTTAGAGATCAAGTAAATGATTACCAATTCTTCTGTAAAAATTAGAAGTATTGCATATTTATCACCCTGCAAGTAACTTTATAAAATGAGAAATTATTTTAATTGATCGATCATTCATACTTTGCACAAAGTCATTTATAACCATCAAATAAAATTTTAAAATATTAAGTTTATCTAAGAATCTATGTTTGATCAGACACTATACATATATCACGGTGATCAGTAAGCTATCAGAATCATGTACTATTTTTTTGAAATTCCCAAATTAAGAAATTTGTGATAAATTACGTTCTTTATAGAAATAACTGATCAGTTATTACGCATCATGCATAATCGAAACATACTTTAAGCTACGTTACTTAATTTAAGCTTAATTTTTCTACAATATTTTATAATAAATTTCTATTACAATGAACCGATACAACATTATTGTCGAAGAATGTAAAATGATGAGTTGCTTTTTTTACACTGATGTATTATTCACCCTACATACTAATTGGAAAAGATGAATGATTTACGCTTTGTCTTCGTAAAGGCTATCACTTTCTACTTATATTCTCATTTCATCTATTGAATTCAGGAAGGGGTTTGACTATACCCTCAGTGTATGCATTGTGAACAGCTTCACAGACAAACTTGTATTGACTCTGAAAAAAAACTCAATTAATTTCGATAAAAATATAAAATGAAAATTTTTACCAGTAAAAAAATCTCGGAGCATGCAATGAATATTTAAGAAATTCGAGACTACCCCCATGGTATGCGCACATCATGTAGATAGAAGTGTAAACTTACAGCATTTTGAATCATCATGGCCCGTTGATCCCGCATTGAGCGAACGATTTCGAGAGGGTAGACAGGCTGATTGGCTTCAATGAGACACAGAGCTGTCTCCATGAGTACAAGTACGCCGGTACGTCCAATACCAGCAGAACAATGAACCACTGCAGGCTCGACGCTGCCACAGCGCGCAGCTCGAACCCGTTCCGTGAATAGTACGAATTGTCTCCAGTCGCTGGGAACTCCGTGATCCGGCCAGGCGCAATACTGCATATGTGTTATGTCGCGCTCTTCGTTCGTCTGTAATTAAAAGAAGAGTAGTCGTTGTAATGAATTTTATCTAGATCGTGTTATTCGCAATGTTTTTTAGCTTATGTTTATATGTTTTTATGAAAGAATTTAAATCACTAACTGGTTTGTTCTTAAAACGCTCTTATTGGCTTTGTGTAAATTACCTTGTTAAGTTTTCATTAGATAAAGCACAAACGCAATCAAGTCTTTGTTAAAGATAAATCACGGCATGAAAATTTGCTCTCAAGATGTTGCAGAATACTGAATGTATTTCTGCAGTTATGGTTTATGCTGAGTCACTATTCAAGCCCGACGTTATAGTAATTTTGTATCATTTATTTTGAGCAAATCGTTTTCTTAGATGGAAAAAGAACTTCTTCAAATATATCATAAGTAACTACTAATAGAAAGAAAAAACTACCAAATAAAAGACGATAACTTTTTCACTTACGTTAGTATCAATCAGCACGAATTCCCGGAAGATAAAAGTATCTTCGATCGTCTCTGATCGACACTTGACGATTAAATTTTTTATCGTTAAAGAATCATTAAGATCCGGCCAATACTGATGACATTTCACTCGACCTCTTTCTGCCAAAGTTGTTAACATGACGACTAGAGTACTACCAGCTTCTAGTACCATCTGCCAGAAGTCCATGACCGTGTGAGGAAGGGGACCTTGAGTGGCAATATAGCGATTGATTATGCCAGAGCCAGGAATCTCCATGTTTACATAATTTGCGTTTATGTAGTCACCATCCACACTGCCCATTAATACGACTCTGGTGACATCATCTGCGAAAATGTAACAAAATATTATAGTTTAATCCGTTCGAATGTTTGTTTTTTAATTTGATTAAATAGAACATTTATTCAAAATAAAACTTTAATGAGATCATTTTTAAATACTTACAAGGAGATATATCTCGGTATCGATTTTTAATAATATTTTCAGGTTTCTTAGATTCGAGGGATGTTAATTCAAGGTTTTTACGATAAAGAGATTCGTAACGACTGACAACTACTCCACTGGTAAGGCCTTCTTTAATAAGTAACATCGACTGTGATAACGCATCCGAACCAACTACTGCTTGAGTTGGTACTTCAGGTACATATCTTTATAAAATTAATACTTTTATAGTTGATCCAAAATGAAAATTGTTAAATCATAAGAGATGAATTACTTACATGAATGGCGATTCTTTTTCAACATTTTGCTCATCCGGACCAGCAATAACGTTGTATAAAGCATTAGGTTTTACCGTAAGCGTGAGTTCGCCATTTCCAGAGTCTCTTGACTGTCTGATTAAATTGACAACATGCTCATGAAGCATGCCATTGACATCAATGCCATTGATTAAAATTACTTGGTCACCCTCATTTAGTTTAGGAAAGCAACGATCAGCTGGTGTATTTGCAGCCACACGTGATACCAATATTGGCATATCAAGATCTAATCCACCCTTCACGTTAAAACCAAATCGACCCTGATCGTCAGGATTTAATCTGATAGTGACAAGACTTTCATCTAACACATGAAATTTTGGCAGCTAAAATAAAAGTCATAGAGCAGTATAGTTTGAATGACCTTTCCAAAAAATTGAATTAGATATAAAACAATTAAAACTCACTGGGGCCGGTGTGCCGGTTGATTCGTTAAATTCCGGCACATCATAAACATTTCGTTCAACGCTTGGATCTTCGTCTGCGTAAGTTATAACTCGGTTACCTAGTACAGGCGAAAAAGCACCTGTACTCGGGGCGTGCGAATTTCCTGTCACGTCCTCGCGAAGAGTCAGAAAACCACCTTCGCTGTTGTAAAAACAGTATAAATTAATTCCAACGGGTCTTTTAGCAAATAAATTGCATTATATAATAATTTTACAAATACTTACTCATCACTTTGATTTCCTTCAACCCAAGCAGATCGAGGTTTACAAGAACCAGATAATTGTACCTTATTATCGCTAGATCTTGAAGATTTTCCAGAAATCTTACCTTTATCTTCCGACAAAGATGGCAAGATTCCTTGAAGTAATTTTTTACTAGGTGATCTAAAAAAAATTAATGAGAAATGTTATGCTAACGATTAGTTTGAAAAGTCGATAAATTATTTTTTAACGTGTTACCTTATGAATGTTCGTTCTACTCTAGATCGATGTTTTCCATCTTCGACTGTTTGAAATTCCGTACGACCTGAGTAGGTGAATCGACTGCTAAGCGCCAGTGGAAATCGCCGCGATCGCATTTTTGGACTGTGTAATCTAAAGAATGTGTGATGTTCGACGCATGATTTCCACAAACTCTTAGAACTACGGTATGTTTGCATGTTAAAACCCAACAAAGTGTCAAAATTCTCCGACTATATAACATAAAAGTTATTATGTAATGATGGTTTTCCTAATCATGCAATAATACTCAATAATTATCGATTTTTACCTGTTCTCTTCTCAATTGAATGAGAAATTGTTTACGTTTAAAAGAGATCTTAACTATCTTCACCCAAGAGAAGACATTTATCCTTATATTATTTTGGAAGACTACTAATCCTACTGACGTTACTCCTAAGTAAATTTCTTTGTTATTTGAATCCTATAAGAAATGAAATAAAAGTTCATTCACCCATGTAAGTAAATATTTCAGGAAATTTTATACATTTACCCTAGCTTTATGTAGCTCAACTCCATACATATCAAGGCGTTTAGCGTGATCTAGAAAATTAAATTCGGCATCGGATGGTAATTGACCTCTAAAACAAAAATTTTCACTTTTAAAATTAGTTTTTACTGAGAAATTTGCATGTAGGGTAAAAAATTCACATACTTATGTAATTTATGAAGTTCACATATTTTTCTTTCCATTTCTTCGGTCTGATTTGGAAGTAATTGTAAACGTGATATATATCCAATGCCATGTTCTTCTGGATTATAATCCCCGATTTCAGCTGCAATTAAAGTAGCACATATTCCTTTTTATATTATTAATTTTTTTATACCAGCGGCCGTTAAGTGATTATTTTTCTCTTGCTGTGCAAAGTGGAAAATAATATTTTTGGAATACTGGCTATGAAAAACCATGTAAAGGTCTAAGCCAGGAAAAACAGCGACCGAGGCAATGTGGGCTTTGGGACATTTTGTTGTTTTTCTGGCTTAGTGCAGTAATATTCTATACTAAATATTTTAAATACTTACATTGAACCGTATAACTAGCTATTAGGCAAGCAGTGGCAGGAGGAAGTTGAAGCTTTCCTTGCAATATATCCCTTCTGATTTGTAAATAAAATTGATACCTAGTATACTCTTCTTGTAATTTACTTGGATCAGAAACATAAAACTTCACCCGGAAAAAGAATTGTCCTCCTTTACTTCTCAATTGTTTTTTAACTAATTTAGATACATCAAGCCATCTCTGTAAAACATGAACAAGATGATATTATTCTGAAATTATTCAAAAATTTTTAATAAAAAAGTAATAACCATTACATCCGATGTTGGAGTTGAGGACATTGAACTATTCTCAGCATATTGTAAACCAAAATAGTCTTTTTCTACTAATTCTAAATGTTGAAATACTAAATCTAAGAGAGCTTGCCCTTTCGCCTTTTTCTGTAAAAGATTCACAAAATTACAATTATAAAATAAAAATCATATTTTACCATGAGATACATACATCTAATTGAAATGAATGCTGAGTATCATCCAAAAAGACAACAGTGGCGGAAAGGGTTTTATGTTTCTTATCGCGCGCCAGTTCTGCACTGCGAACGTGGTAGCTCCCACAGGAGCCACTCAGAGCACGTCGAGAAACACTATCTATCATTTCCAGTAAACGCAGACGAGTTATCCACCTTTGGGACACCGTCTCATGGATACTTTGATTACCTGAAAATAAGTTTAAAACGTTATTAATATTTTGCATCATTTTTCTATATTAAAACACTTGTAACACAAAAAAGTTGTTTGCTTCTGAAGTATTATTGATATTTAACCTGAACACAAGATGGATTTTTTATTTGAAGCCTTCTAGAGATAATAAGAATTCTTATCATTAACTCAAATAAATTACTGATCAACATACTATGTACTACAAAATTAAGTATAGTAGATAATTATGTAATTTGCTCATGTTTTACAGTGGATTAATAAATATAAAGAGAAAAAAAATTAAAACAAAAGCAAATTATTACTTATATTCTTCTTATATTTGAACACTGCAAAAATTTAGTATTTACTAAACCTAAGACTGTAGCGACTTAAGTTTAAGTTTAAAAATAATATAGCAGGTAAAATTCAAATGAATATTAGAATTAAGATAAAAACTAAATACTTTACATTTAGAAATAAAATTCGTACAAACTACTGTGATAAACTCAAATAATATTATTTTAATCGATTTTATTACAGTTAAATTTACAATTGACTTTAAATTTTGAATGGCATATTCTTTATGATACAAATTAGCAACAAGACAAGTGCAAACATCAAATTAAAAACACTCAAATAACTCATAAAATCAAATTATAATGCACTTTTTTTTTTATTTACATTCCATGGATGTCATAATCCTGAATTACAACCAAGGTCAGTGATCCAGATAGTTATATAATTTAACTCAGCAACTAATCGTCAATGATTCAAAGGTAATATGGAGCATAGAATTCTCAAAATAGTTTTGGCAACTCAGAAATAACTTCCCAATGATGCACTTCATCAAAGAAGGAGTAGGCACATAATTAACTCTCATCACGTTTGTCTTAAGCTAAAATGTTAGAATCACTATCGTTATTCTTATCCATACAGTAATTGATAAGCTTAAAGAAAATGTAAGTATTGTTGTAATTAGAATTTGGAATGTTCTTTTCAAATTGCAAAAGTAATTAGGTCATTTATTTTTAGATAATTCATAACAATAAACAAGTTTGAATGAAGAGAAACTTTTGTAAATTTTTTATAGCTTCTTCCCACTTAAATATTCTTCCTCAATCTTAAAATGGACTTTTATCTTAAATTACATTTTGTTCAAGTCAAACTAATATTTTGTAGAAAACAAATCAAAACTGATATTTTCCTAAGATTCTCCATGAAATCATACAATGCATGAATTGTACTTGAAAAAGTATTTACAAATTTCGGAGTTGGTTCATTTTATTGACAAGTCGAAAGAAGTACTTACATTCATGATATAAATAAAGTAATTAGGAACTTGGCAGAGATGAATTTGAATCGATGCCTTCGATTAAGAAGGCAAGACACCATCGGCACTGGTTGCAATGTGTATTCTCAAACGTCGTTGTCGTCGTCGTCGTATAAAAAGGCCGGAGTCGACGCTTTATTTTGACAATCAAACGTAATTAGGCACAATTGGGCACAGGATTAAACTTTTTCAGCACAAATGCACCCGCGCACAGGGACACTCTTATTTATCCGTATACATAAAAAATATACTTGTTAGCCGGACGGAAAACTATTAGGCACTAGATATAGGTTGCACGTTCAAAAACGGTTGGCTTGATGCTGATCGCACTGGGTTTTCTTGCTGTTGGCAAGTAAAACGATGAATGACCGGTGCCGTTAATTTCTGCTCTTGCTCTTTCTTGCTCTCTTTGTTACGCATACACTCGATACGCTTTTATGATCTTGTGTTTTATGATAAATCAGGTACACTTTGGACGATGAATCTGAAAGAAGACGTGCATAGGATGTCCTCGATTAAGGCTCATACAGACAAGGCAGCGGCAGCAAGTCGACTTTTCTTTTGTGCCAACGCGTATATAAAAGAACAGGACAAAAATGAAAGCATGTATATAGTACGTTCGTATTGTATAGACGACGGAACTGTGTGTACGTATATATAATGCGCGCGTAGCATACAAGTATGTGTGTCTGTGTCAACTTTGAGAGAAAGAACCCCCTGGGGAGAGGTTATACGGTAGACGCTCGCGGAACTAGCGATAGGATATACGCCAGCCCTGGCACAGCTGCCCTTCCAAAAGCTCCGCTGAGTACATATACACCTTTTATAAAACGCAGCAACACCTTATGTAAATGCAAGTAGCCGTTGCATGTACATGTGTGAGCGGCAGTGTGCACACGCGTTTGTCTCCGTGTCTGTGTCGGTGTGCGTATACGTGTGTATACTGCAAACGGTGGCCGTTGGCCTCGGATTACCGAGCAGAGATAAGACACTGCGCGAAAAGAGAGATCGTATACTCCACTATATATACTGTATATATGTATAGGTATACATATGATACGCTCGTTGTAAATCTCTTTCTCTCCTCTGAATTTGCTTCGCGACTGCCGCTGCACCCGTCGCACAGTAGCAGCCCATAAGTAGCCGCTAGTTATAAATGATATAAATTACGTTTGTACGGGGGGTTTTTTAATACTTTGACTACACAACGCACTGTAATGAGTATTTTGATAATTATACACGATTCTCAACAACACAATATTTGTACGCGTGCACTACACGACTCTCTTATATTGGAACGATTTGTCAGTCAAATCCCGTTGATGAATCACTCACTGTTTTATGTCTTTGATTATTCAAAGGTTTGATCGTCTATCGATGCTACGGCTCCTTTTAGCGATTATATTTTTCTTGAGTGAGAAACGCAGTTACAACCGCCACATTATGAATCACAAAAATGCAGATATGCAAGACGGAAAATAAAACGAACTTTATACGGCTCTACGTAGGCGTAGACGGGGCGATCGTTGCATATACACTGGTACATATACTTATAATATCATAAGAGGCTGTGTAGCAGTCAACGGCTCGCGCGCAAAGCAGCTAACGCGTGTGCGAGATAGACGAGCGGCACACGAGACTCGGCTGAATGCAGTAAGTATATACCTATATATATTATAACACAGCGCGGACATNAAGTAGAGGAGTAGGAGGACAGAGAAGGAATAAGACTGGTCATAAAAGTTCAGAGAAACATGGAACTCGTATTGTGCGGCTATTTTCGTGCGGATATTAGAAACAGTCTATAAGATGCACAAAGATCGATACCCAATTAAGGAAGATAAATAAGGTGTACATTTTAAGAGGCTATACACAACGAATGTTATCGATGAAGACACAACACCTGCGCTGATGCTGCTGCTTTTGCGGCAGGTTCGTATAAGAGGATTTTACTATATATATATATATATATATATAGCAGAGTTTATAAAGGAAAGCGGCAGTTGCAAGCGAACGCGAGCGAAAGAGATGCAACTGTGCGCGTGTAAGTATACACACACTGGATGCTTTGTCACGCGCGTGCAGCTGCACTGCTTTAATAATAGACCGAGTTCTCGCTCGCTCGCGCAAAGTGGTTGATCTTTCTCCCCTATAGCCAAATGTTGATCCGCGCCTAGAGTTTATACGCTTCGCAATTCGGGGGCAGTGGCCAAGCGTTGGCAACGCGCTTACGTATCTTCAACTTTTTGTTCGTTTACGTTACGTCTGAGCTATTGTGCTTATCAGGTGATTCGGAAATCATAGCAGCTCGATTTGCGCGTCTAGCCGGACAACATACGTATCTCGATATCTCGAGTGCTTTCGTCAAAATAAGGCGACTCTACGTTTTCCCGTCAAACTCGTTGTTTATAGTTTTCGTACATTTTCACTGACGCGCATCCATCGTATTTAAATTTCGTTACGAGTTATTCTTTACGTTGAAATGATCTCGAGGCGCTCTCCCGTGACGGCACGCGCTCTTGTGGCGCGCGATTTTCGAGAAACTATATCAAATCGAGAAATCGAGTTTTTAATTGCGCCGCGCTTAATAGCTGCCTATTGAAATGGAAATTGGAATTTCCGCGAATCGTACGAGTATGTAAGGCCGCGAGGCACACACAATTACGCACACTTAATATACACTTTAGTACCTGTTGTACGAGGAATGAACGGCTCGGAAATATTCCTTTTGTCCGGGTACGAATTTATTGTAAATGTGGACAGGCGTTTGACGTTTGATCAAATTCTGTCTGTAATAATCGAGCATTGAATTTCAATTTATTGCTCGATAACGACGCTTTTTATTTCGTTATCCGCACTCGCACACTCACACATTATTATAAGCTGTGAAATATCGCGTTTGACTATTCGAACGATGCCTCGAAAGATACTGAATCTTTGTGAGCCACATGGATTACGCATATATGACACACCTATACATACATTATTACACATACGCACCGTACACAGTAGAGGACAGAGAGAGAGAGAGAGAGAGAGAGAGAGTTGTATTGAGTGAACACGCCGCACCGGCTGACTAATGATGCATCATCCTCGATCCGTGAAATCGCGCGAGCACGCCTCGATAACGAACACTTTTTTGCTTCCTTCTTTTTTTGCGCAAACCGAGATTTACGGAGCAATAAGCGAACGACAGTCGTCCCTCTGGCACCAATAGAATAGAGCCGAAGGTGAAAAAAAAAAACTACAATACTTATTACTCGAGGACTCATTTTTTCCATTACTGCGCGATGCTGTCACGCATAAAAGTACTATATCGTTGATTGTTTTAAGCATTTGCCGTTTGTAAAGCTATTAAACGCCATAAAGGATGGATGTACTTGAGGCCACGCGAGTACAATCGCGAAGTAGATAATATTGGTTCACACTTTCAGCATAAAATTGTCGATTTAAAAATTGAGTCAAATTTCCGAATCCAATAGATATCGCTTATATCGATTGAACAAGATTCGAAATGGTTGATATGTTTTTTTTACTTAGAATCTTCACAGAAATAATAAATTACACACAAGATGCTTCATTCATAATATACCTTGTAACATATTAAAGTTGGCATAAATGTGTAAATAGAGCAATGTAATGGGTGAATTTTGAAAATGTTCATGTCAAAATACTTGTAAGAGAAATTTATCAATTCACTTTTTTTTTGTTCTTATTTTTCTTATCCTTTCAATAAGTTAATAGATTGATTCGAAATAATAAAAGCTATGCAATTTGATTCTGGCGAACGACGAAAACGAGATTAAGAGTTCAATTGTGGTGATCGATATAGCTTGCTAATAATCATCGATTACATTTTACTGTTCTGATAACATTTGTATCGAGTCGAATTCGCGTATACGTGTACAATATGGGTTTTTTTTTTGTTAAAAAAAAAATTGGAGCACATCTAGGGCATTAGAAAGCCTTACGTTTATAGAAAAGTCGTAGAAAGTTTTCAAAAAATGTAAACACACATAGACGAGTAATCGAATCCATGTGCGGCTTTCATCATCTATACATTCATCTCGAAATCTAGCAAACGAATGGTTTTTTTTAGGAACTGTTTCATCGCTCGGGAGATTACGTGTACGTGAAAGCGGAAGCGAAAGCGGTACCTTTTTCATGAAATATCCGTACGATATTTAGTTAAAGTAACCATAAGGTTAAACATAAAATACACTATATTAGCAGGTGAATTAACTTTGGGTCGTCCAGCATATTGCAAGAGCTGTATTATTTCCCGTATTGTTCCCGTATAGTTCCAATAGTCGATGTCACCCTTCGTGGCACCGGCGGCAGTCGCTGCTCTACACGATCAGTCCGTCCCGTGCGCCACTAACGTACAATCGTTTTATATCGAGGAAAAAGTACAAGAGGGTCTATTTTTAATACCGAGCTCTTCGTATGAAAAACTGTCACTCGCGCCTTGAGCTAGGCAATTTAAAGCTCTTTTTGGCATAAAAGTGCACATAAATAAACTTTAAATCGCCCGTTCGCAGCGCACAGTACTGCGGCGCTGTTGGTGGCGTTTTGGCGTATCGCGTATCTACACGCTCATACACACACATACACACACACATTGATATTATCTTCGTCGTTCGTCGTCGTACTCGATGTTGTGACGTGTTATGTGTTGTCTTGGACGGACTAACGGAACCTCCAATAATAACACATGTACATATTATAGAAAGAGTAGAAAGAGAGAGAGAGAAAGAGAGAGCACTTGTGAACAGATTACTTCTGCAACCTTGTAGTCGAGTCATTGGCTTGTATCAACAACGCTGCAGCATTATCGCGGGTCCCGCACCAGTTGTGGCAGACGAGTCGTGTGTCGTCGGTTCCTGCCTGGGAGACTGTTTTTCGCTAGAACATTGTAACACGCGATCCAGCGCGTAGACACTTGGGATAATTACATCCTATAGCATAGGTCAGTTTCTTTTGCAGATTTCTTTTTCCCGCGAGCTAATCGTTGTTACGTTGTACATGCCGAGTGCATAATTACAATGACAAAAAACTGCACCGACAGTCGACACCGCCCCGTATATTCCCCCTTTGGCATATCTTTACACATATACAATCGTATGACACGAGTTTCGCTCAATTTTAGGTTATAGCTATACACTCTCGCATATTTGTCTGCCGTTTATCTGTGTGAGTGTACGCATAGCTCTTCGTGATAACGTGATCTCGTTTTTTTCACGTACGTATAGCCTCGCAGCCGAAATTCTCGTCGTGTTTACATTGGACCGTTTTTATATACATTGACTTCAGGCAACTTTTACATTTTTCATGCTAGCGGATGCCAAATTCAAGATCGATATTTACGAGTTTTCGAAAAGTAAGTTTTCGTATTCGTCATCTAGATCGTTTCTACACGGCAGTCGAAAACTATCGTTTGATTCAACTTTTATCTTTTAATTAGACGCGATTGTACTCATCGTTTTATTGGTATCATGAGACCCGAAAGTTTAGTGAGATAGTGCGTTCGTAGAGCAGTGAACGTTATTACATACTCTAACTTTGTCAAGTACGCGCCAGCGTGTACAAGTGTACCTGCGTGTGTGTCAATGATTAATTAGATCCCATGACTCATTGATCTGTTTTCAAGCATATCCTAATTGTTGAAATTTTTCATTATTAGGAAGGGAAAATGATGCAAGATGAGGACATTCAATCTTCCTCAAAAGGAAACATTTGTACCCAAGCATGGACTAGATTGTCACAGGTCTGTAATGTTAGTACACATAGTACATAAAAGTAGCATCATATGAATCAAATTTTCAAACTTAATTTTTACCAATTGTAGACCTATCAAGGTTGGCTGGATTCTTGGACACCACATACTACATCCAGATGGGTAGTTGCATTTTTCTTAGTTATTACATTTGTGCTGCGAATAGTATTATCTCAGGTAAGAGGAATTCTTTGAACTATTTTCACTTTACTTAAATGCTTATTATTTAACAATTGAATTTTATTTTAGGGATGGTATGTTATTGCATACGCATTGGGAATTTATCATCTAAATCTTTTTGTATCATTTCTCACCCCAAAAAATGACCCAGCCATGGGAATTGAAGGTAAAGTATTTTCTTAATTATAACTTGACACAAATTTTAAATCATTAAAGGATTTTATCATATTTTCAAAAGATAATGATGGACCTTCATTACCAACGCGGTCTAATGAAGAATTCAGACCCTTCATCAGAAGATTACCTGAATTCAAATTTTGGTACTCTGTGTGTAAATCCACTCTCATAGGTTTAATTTGTACATTATTTGAATGCTTCAATGTACCAGTATTTTGGCCAATACTAGTCATGTATTTTATCACGCTCACGTGTATCACAATGAGACGTCAAATAAAGGTAAGAACTTTAATTTAATTCTATAAGCTTGAAAGAAAATTTGTTCTTACTGACGTATTTTTTTTAGCACATGATCAAGTATAGATATATTCCTTTTACGTATGGAAAACCAAAGTACCAAAATCACTTGGATGGAAAGTAATTTCTTATCAAGTCGAATGAAGAATGTCTGCTAACGAACGAAACGAAATCGTGTACGTGGGTAGATTACTATATATTATAAATCTTACTTGTTTGTTTATTTTTGAGAACTATTTCAAATCAGCTATAAATGCATTTTTGTTTTTATGACAATTTATAACACATGAACTAATGCATTGTTCCAAACTTTTGATAAGTTGGAAAGCCAAGAGTGAATGTGTAAGTGTTATTAAAAATTGTTTTGTAAGAGGAGATTCTTGGTGCAGTATAAATGTGTGGTGTATCTTTAATAACATTGAATTGTCTTAATATATTTGTAACATAAATATTGTACAAAGTATTGTTAGATCTTACATGATTATGGACAAAATAATAACATTAAAAACAATAAGCATTCGTTATTGTGTTAGATCAACTTATTGTGAACATTGAGAAAAAGAGGATAAATATAATAAAACTTAAAAATAAATTTAGTGAGTCATCTTTTATGATTTTCTCAATTTTATTAAAAAAAAAAAAGTATCTACAATACGTTTTTTTTAAAAATAACTTTTTTTAGAATTCATTTCTACAGATTCAATAATGACATTCATAATAATGAAATAATTAAAGATAATTATCAAAATTAATACCTTTTAAATTGAATAAAGCTCAGTTGTACTGGCGATGCATATTATAAAAAATTTTGTAGATTTTTGAATCATCAACTACGTATTAGGTAATGTGATGAACAATTTGAAAATTTTAAAACATATATTGTAAAATTAAAGTCCTAAACAATTTGTACTGTTGTATAGACCCAAGTTTCAGTTGTCATTATAAAAAATTTAACTTGAAAATAAATCAATTTCAAGATTAAAACATGATTCTTTTTTCTTCTAGCAACATACATAAATTTGATACATATACAAATATCAACAATATACAAGTTAATCGATCGTTGAGAATACGTAAAACTTGATTTAGATTGAATGTCTTACACGTAAGACTTGAATCCATGCCTGTAGATTCATAGCGAATAGTCCATTCGGCAATGATAATAATAACGTTTTTTTCTTTGTTTCCTCGAGCCGCACTGATTCTATTTATAAAACATCGAGTCACAGCACTTGCTCGCTCCGGTCCACGTCGTTATCAGGGGCAGCAGCAGCGGTGACGTCCTGTCAAATGTGCCGATTCTTGGACTTGTCGAGCAGACATAGGCCGTTATTATTCTTGGCCGTAAAAAAGCTAGAGCTATTAATAAAGTGGCGAGAGTCGTCGGTGACGAGTTTTTGCACGACTAAAACAGGTTGTTTGGCGTCGGCGTAATCTTGCCCTTTGACCGCTGCTGGCTCATGACGAGGATCCGCTCCCTCTGCTCCTCCTGTTGCTGGCTTATCGCGTTGAAGTCTGAAAGACAAGTCATACTCGAATGGATTAATTAATTATCGTGGGTGAGGCGAAGCGCGAGAAGTCGAGTATATCGGCGGGCTAAATCGGAGGCCTACCTGGTGCTCTCGCAGCTACGCGATCGGCTGCGGTGACGCTTGGATCTGGCGATGGCGTCGCTGCCGATGCTGCGAGCGTCGAACCAGCGCTCGTAATGATTCCTCAAAGCGGTGCGCACCTCGTTGTTCGTGAAGCAGTAAAAGAGCGCCACGAGGAATCCCTGGGAGGAGAGCAGCACGGCCCGGGCGTAGGTGAACATGTTGGCGGCTTGGCCCTCGGTCGGCCCGGCCAGCACGAGTATGTAGGTGACGCCCAGCAGCGGGATCAGCACCAGCAGGGCTTTGGCGGCTTTCCGGTACTGCTGGGTCTCGGCGTTGTTGGCCGAGCGCAGCTTCGTGATGAGTACCTGCGCGAGCAAAGAAGTAATTACGAAGGAAGGAAGAGTGGGTCGTTTGCAGATTCGTAAGCTAAGGTCGCTCGACTCGAGGCAGCTGCGCACTCACCCACATGATCATAAAGAGGAAGATTACGTTAGCCCCGAGGACGGAGACGGCCGGAACTTCGTAGATCCAGTCCAAGAGCGGATGCGGTATCATCCAGGAGCAGTGTCGCGATAGGGCGGCTTCCTGGATACCGTCGGTAAGGAGGCGCTGGCCGGCCCAGGTCTTGGCCGTCGCCCAGATCAGCACGACGACGAAGGGCACTGCCCAGCCGATGAGCAGGCAGACGTTGAGCTTGAGCGTGTCCCCGGAAAAGGTCTTGACCACCAGCAGGTGCAGATAGAGGCCTTCGACGAACATCCAGAAGAAGTTGGTCAGCTGGAAGTAGTGATAGAGCGAGTAGAAGAGGACGCAGAGAGGCTGATTGGCCGACAGCGAGATCTGCGAGACTGTGTTGAGTATCCAGAGCAGGTCGGCCAGTATGTACGTGAACATGAGGTGGGTGTGTATGACGTTGCGCAGGCAGCGCAGCTCCCGATAGTACAGATAGATGCTGACGGCGACCAGCAGCGTGACGAAGCTCAGACTGTAGCCGACCAGGTAGAGCTGGGTGGTGATCTCGACGCCGTCCTCGGCCTCGGGCGAGACGAGCTTCAGCTCGCGGCAGCGCGAGTAGTTCGAGTAGCTTTCCCAGCTGCCGTCCTCGAGGCACCATCTGCTCGCTTCCTCTGCATCGTGCCGTGGATGAAAAAAAAAACACGTTAACTACAAAAAAAATCAAAATTCCACCTACGAGCTCGTATTATATCGGCTTACATCTCTCGCAGCCGGGCTTATATTATACATATATTCAACCGAGTCACTTTTTTATTCCAGCGAGGGAGGATATTGCCACGGTTTCTCTATACGCTAAGCTCGTGCTTTTACGATTCAGATCGTATGTAGGATAAATATACATGCAGAATATCACACCGGGCTCGAGTATGGAATTATATCCGATGGTGGGAATCGTATCGTTAGGAATATTGATTCCGAGGGAATGAAAAGAAGATGTGCCGAGAGAGATATCAATTTTTCTAATAAAAAAAGCCTGCGCGACGTTTTCCTTGACGATCCCCACACGTACGCTTGCCAACTTGATGAAGAATAATTTTTCTTTCCTCGCGTCTTAATAAAAAAAAGCCGCAAACCTCGGCGAATGGAATACATTAATCGCGAGCTTATAAGGGGGCTAAAACTTTGTGAAAATTATGCATACACAGATATACGTGGGCAGGGGAAAATTAATGATACTTTGGTAATAACGCTAAATCGCCGCGCCGAACTTATCTTCGGACTTTACGCGTTCACCGGGTATCTATATCTAGCTCGCGTTCATGAATATTCAATTCAATTATAATTTAATTCGGTGCAGCGCGCGGTTGTTATATGCACACACCTATGTGTGTACGCTACAATATGCGGTCAAAGCGCATCAAACGAGCCATCTCGTCGGGCTCTCCCGCTCTCATGTGCAATTAGCAACGCGCGCTCGTCGCGATATGACGCCTCTATTGGTTCTATCCTTAATTTTCAATTCAATTATCATTTGGTTGCGACGATAACACCCACGCCACGCCGATCGGTTATTTGCCTTTTTTCCTTCCTTCTTTTATTTGTACTTTATCGTTGATAAATATTAAAGTGTCCGAATACAAGAGAAAAAGAGAGAAAAATTTACGACGTTTATTTACGCATATTTTTTTGCATGTGCACAATCGCATTCGCAGGCTTCGACTCTACGTGCGCGAGTATACGTATGCAGGTAAACATTTTTGAATCGCGCGTCTTTTCATGCCCTCGCCATGCGCTTCATCGTAAATATAAACTTGTCCTTTGTTCAATATGGAGCTACGCGAATCGATAGCGCTATCACGGCGACAATATACCTGCGTATGAATGGAAAGGAAAATAATATTTTTTTCACCCAATACGAGATAGAGAGAATTTCAAAAAAAAAACCAAAACGAGGTGCCTTTTCAAACGCTACACGACAAAAGCTCAGCTGAACCCCCTGCACCTTTTACCATCTATGTATTTTTATTAGCACAAAATACGTGTTCATTAAGTTTAGCTTTGTGTATGAATAAATATTTATACACATTGTCTGACTAAATCTGCACTTTGCTCTATCCTACACGTGTAAGCTCTCGTAAATTGCCACGGATTATATTTTCTCGCCGATATCTCGCGCGCGTCGCGAAAAAATAACTCTTCACTTCTCTCCCTCTCTCTCTCTCTCTCTCTCTCTCTCTCTCTTTCGACTCGTTGTAAATTTTTTCAGCTCCTCGTACTTCTAGATTATACTGCGAAAGAGAATGCACACATCCTCGGGCAAACAACTGTTTTTCGATGTAATTTACGCAAAATCTCGAATGGTGTACAACTTCTTTTACAATAAAATAGCGTAATATTTCAGCAAGAATAACGTATATACATTTTTCACGTTTAATCTTTTGTTACGGTTTTTTTTTATTTTCTTTTTTTTTGCCCATAGTTTTCGAGTATATATTAAAGTTTATTGTCCGTAAAGAGAAGTGTGTACAAGACTGCAGCAGCCGTGCGAGTCCCTACTATGTCTGTTTGCAAAAGAAAAAAACGTATACCACCGCGAGCTTGGCAATTGCGCGAAAAAAGGGAGAGAGAGAGATTTTTAACGAGCAACTCTCTCGTATTTGGAATGAGCTTTTTGCGCGCAAAGAACGCAGTTTTCATACATCCACACAAAACCATAAGCATATGACAATGGATAAAAATAAGGTTTACGGATCATTTACAGCTACAGAGTATTATTGTGATATGAACGCACTTATAACTAAGTGCAAACGTCGGACTAGATTAGACCCGAGTTTCATATTATTATGTATTATAAAGGCACGATGAAGTCGTTCGTTGGCTGCTGCTGGAAATTTTCACTCACTGCATATAATATATAATACATATTACGCAGTGCGCGGTATATTTTACAGTACTCGAGAGGGTTGAGCGAGGAGTTAAAAGCTATATCTCAAGAGAAAAATCGACCGTCTTCGCATACATCTCTGTATCTCGCACTTGGCTTCTTTTTCGATTTCATATAATATGAGTAAATACTAAATGCATTCGTGAGCTTTACGAAGATGGCGCGATTTCTTTGAGTGTTTGGTAGATAATTCACTTCTCTAGCGATTCTTAAGTGCATCGTCAATTTTTGCATTCAAGTTTCCGATGGGTACTCGAATAAATCTTTGCTGAAAGACCCAGAAATACTAAAGAGCATAGAAATTAATGAACGTAAAAGTAACTCATGTTTGAAATTCGAGCGACTTATTTATTCATTTTTAAAACAACCAAGGAGTTTTATTTGCATATTGCTCAGTTTCTTGTAGTCAAATAATTGCCAAACTTAAAACTGCAATTTGCAGAAGACTGCTCACTAATGTAAACCTGATTTCCAAAGTATCTGCATTTATGCGGGTGTACACTAGGTTGACTTCGAATCTGTTCGGTGGTATGAGTGATAGAACGTCTGTAAGCATAGGAAATTCCGGTCTTCCACCGGACAGAATCGGAGTCAACTCAGTGTGCTAACACGCTTTTTCTACTATACATGAGCTTTTTCAATACCCACATGGCATACACTACGATCTAAAACGGATTTTTCTGTGAAACTGCTTGAAAAAAACTAGAGTTTTTACATTCTTTCTCGTTTGTTAACTTTTTTGTACGGATAATAAACTTTAAATATGTGATTCTTACTACTGCAAAAGAGAGCAAAGACCAAAATTAAGCAATACCAATACACTCGGGCTGCTCCAATTTGCATCATTGAGTTTAACTACGACAATCAAACATTTTTATTAAAAAAATGTGATTTTATAAAATTGTTTGTCCAAGCTTTACCCGATATTTTTAATTACAATGGTCATTTGATGACTACATGAATTTCATTTTTCGGAATTATCCATGGAAAAACGAACAATTTATTATGAAAATTAATACTCTATAAGGTGTTGTGTAGTTTTGAGCACGAATAAAAGTCACGAAATAACTTTCTTTAAATAACACTACGAAAATTGTTTTTCCTCTGTAACAAAGCCCGACGTGGCAAAATATTGTAAATTGCAGGTTTTATATATACATTCAACAAGTCTCGCAGACATATCGATCTCAAGTGTCTGCGTTCTACTCGAAACAAGCCTACGTAATATATGTATATGTTCTGAAATGTCCAAAGCGGCACTCTCAAATTTCATCGTTGCGACTCGGAGCTTTGACTGCATTCCATCGCTGAAATGCAGCTTATTTAACAAAGGATCATGCCGTGCGTATACAATAATTGATTGAGTTACGCTTCGCTACTTCTATACAGCTTAAAATTGAGATATGATTGTTTACGGTGTAAATAGTGTTCAATTGAATAATTCATTTGTGGAATTGTGACCGCGGAGGCAATCTCGGCTTCTGTGCAATGTGTCGCGAGTCATCTCACGAAGCGACAAACTACGCAAACGATGCACATCCAAGTAAATATGTACGAAGTTCTCGACGAATCTTATAATTAAGTAATGCGCATTCCACTAATTAGTTTAAAGAAGAAAGTAAAACTGAGAGGCAGAAAAAAAGTGTGACACGTGTCTCAGTTGGAGCGTAAATGATTGAAGAGAAGAACTTCGTTATGTATCGTACCAGCATCAGTGCCAGCAGCAGCTATCCTAACGGTATTTTATACATGTTTCCTGTCAAAGTACGACAAACACGTACACGCGCCTTTATAGACTTTGCAACGCCAAGAGCAACTTTTGCCGCTGCGTGCCAACTTAATTTGCTTTAGAAAATAGCACGACTACTCGCTTTCAGTCGTGTATTTCGTTCTGAATTGTGGTCGAATTTTGACATCGATTTTTCCTTGTCTCGAGCACACAATATTACATAGATTGTTTGTGACTTTGTGCGATCGTAAAATTTTACAAGTAACCCATTCGCGTTTATGTCCTGGCACTGGAAAACAACGAGATAATGAAAAATCGAAACGCCAGTTTAACGCTTTATATAATTTCCACGCTCGACTAATAAAATGTGTGTACACTTTTGTTACATCGTATTATCCAGTGGAAAAAAGATTAAAAAAGTCGGTTGCGTCGATTGTGCTTCAAATGTCGAAAAGATCGTAAAATGAAAACACTCTCGAGTGTGTGCGATGCCCCTTAAATCAGTACGACTATTAAGTTCGACGCGTGTTTAACTTTCAAAAAAAAGAGGAATGCCCATTGAGAGTGCATCATTGCACACAGCTCGGAGAAATATAATGATGGATTTCAAATGACATCTCGCCAAGCTGCGAGTGTATATTAAAAAGCACAGATAAAGTTAACAATGTAGAAGTTATTGCGAGTCGGAAAAAGAGTTACGGATAAAAGAGAGTAATATAAGGTGTGTGTCTGTGCGGACGGTGCAATGCTTTCTTTAACGATCCGCAGATGTTTCGCGCGCCCGAATAATGTACGAAAAAAAGCTTTTACTCCTTTCCGCTCTCTTGATAAAATAGTGCATTTTACACATTTTCTTACGAGTATTAACAGCAGTTATCCAGCACGATTCCACGTTTATACGTAGGTACGTGTATTGGTGTATGTGAGTGTGTGTTCGCAGAGAGAGGGTGTTTGTATGTACACACCCGAAAGCTATATCTGCGCGAGCTCGCGCGAGT